TCGTACCTACTACGTCATCGCATAATGTCACGTGACCCAGTTTTTAGTTTATCGTTGAAGCCGCTTACGCGTCGTATGCAGCTTTTTTCCGTTTTCTTTGAAAATAAGAACGATCATAACAAAATAAACGCCAGAAAATTAAAACTAAACACTTGGAAAATTGTGGCACGTCGTTATTTTCGGCCCGTCGTTAAATAAATCGGTGTTTTTAAACGTTTCAATGTTTGGTTATGATGGCGTCCCCTTTGAATTTAAACTCGCGATTGCGTGTTATCTCGATGTTTCTTACATTGTTTTTCAAATTATAAAGTGTCGTGATATTAAAAATCAACTCTTTAAAGTAATAAAGCGAATTCGGAAAGCACATTGCTCGTTTCGGTGCCGTGTATAATTTCTTACCTAAAACTGGTGTTGTCTTGTGCAATTACGTGGGTTACTGTTTCTTGTTTTGGATCAAGAGGTCTATGATACGATTTCAAGAATATAGGTGTCGACTTGAGGTAAATTTTCAAACCTTTTAAAGTTCCATCATACTTCTTACCGTACGGCCTTAACCTCGAAATGCTACATAGGTACCAGTTTGCGATATTCTACAATAAAAAAGCATGTTCAAAAGTTCAATATTTAGTTTTCATTTTGGTGTAAATGATATAATAACGAAATATAGTCTGACTGATCAATGTACGTATCTTTCGGTGAATTAAGATGGATGGCGATATGCTTGTTGATGTGCAGACCATATGGAAGATAAAACGGTAATTACATTGTACACAATGCGGTGGTCAAACACACTCATTTTACTACCTTCCTCGTAAATATAACAACATCCGCATCGTAGACTTTTGGAGTATAAGGTAGATTTTTATTACCGTCCAATGCCAATAATCGGTAGCAGATGTAAAAATTCTTTACCTTCACAACCCGTTGGAACGATCAGGATCAATTTATCTTGTAATACTAGTTCAGACTCGACGCTGCATTATGTACCGTTACTTTTACAGTACTCCGCTCGAAGTGAATTATAAGATCGTACATTTATTTTATTTCAGTAGGTGTTTCTTAAATGGAGGAAATTCACAAACATGGGAAACCTGCTCGGAATTGTGAGTTTGTATCTCAATCTCCTTTCGGGTTTTCTCCCATTCTTTCAAGTACTATTGACAGTGCAATCCAAAATGCATTGCTGTCAAGTCACTTGTTTTGTTTACATGGAAAATCGTACTTAAATTGAACTTCCAAATGCGACTCGACAACACCTCATTTTTGATCGCCCGATATTTCTGTACTTGCAAATTCAAACCACTTTAGTTGTTGAATAATGTCAACGATAATATAAATTTTATTCGCATATTTACACTTAAAGTAAGTCCGTAAAAATTATAATTGTAGGCTTCTTTTCTTTCTAGTCTAGAGGCGCCATTAGCCTCGTCCCATTCTATGCTTTGATGTTGAAGTATTCTTGCTACTTAGGTGCATATCCCATATTGTCTTTATGCTTCCCCTTTTAGTCCTATTTTGAATTCCGGTGTTCCATATGTACGGTTTCGCAAGCTGACTGTTTTCCATTCCTCCAAGGCGTCTAAATAAGCGTTTTAATTTTTGTCTACCAAAGGTCTCTATCAGAGCATCCACTTCTTTTTTTATAATTACTAGGAATTCCACCAACTCCCCTTACCCTTCGCAAGTACTTCATTTCAGTAGCTTGTAGTCTGGTTTTTTGTGATTCGTTCAGCACCCAACTCTCTCTCTACCCTAGGTCAATAATTGATCTGTAACGTTATTGCTGTAAGTAGATTTCATTAACTATTTCTAATTAACTGTTACAGTACTTACCGAAACAGTTTCTTCCTATCGCCTTTGGCATATTCTAGGAATTCCTCGAGAAATTCGTAGCCATGTACTTGAAATGTAGATAACCAAATTCATCTTGATAATACCTACTACACCTACTTACAATACAAATATACAAATTTTCTTCAATTATAGCGTTTGCAGATTATGTTTATTATTTACACCAATGAATAATCTTTATTAATTGATTTACACATTAAACTTGACATTTTTACGCAAATTCAAATTTAAGCGCGCTTGCGTTTGCGCAGTACCGAGGGAGTGAATATGCATAATTACATAAAACTAAGCATACCAAGATTGTCGGCAAGGCGTGCCCTCACATTTCACATACCAAAGTGTAACACAATTAGCCTGAAGAATTCGCCAATGTATACCCTGTGTCACAATTATAATTTAATATGTCATATAGTAGACATTTTTAATTGTACATTAAAAACGCTAAATAGCTTCTTAGTTTGAAATAATATTTTTTGTTTTTATTTTTGTTTTAGTTTATACATTAATTATTGCATTTTCGTTCACTTATATACCTGATCTTTAGTTTTATATCTAATTAACATATTCGTTGTCACAGAATTCTATAGTTTTATTTTTAGTTAATTGCACTTCAACGTTTTTACTGTTTCTTTAAACATTTTGAAGTTGTCCAATATTGGTGTTATTGCTGTATGGACAATAAAGATTATTATTATTATAACACATCTGCAAGTGAACACCCAGTATATTATTACATCTTATGACAGCTTATTAAATTCAAGTTCTTGCGCGTAGTATTGCTCCATGTCAAGCGGCCTTTAAATTCTCTACAAAGGTTCTTAATGCATCATAGACAAAATACTTCAATTAACCAAGATTTTTTAATTATTTTCCTTTCAGTTTTAGTCTTAGATCATATAATATATTCTGCCGTCCTAGGAACAGATGCCGTATCTACAAATGACGCAAAATGGAGGAAACGTTATTACAAGTTTTTATAAAATCCCTGCAATCATTTTACCATTGTGAATAAATCTAACGATACTTTATGTATATAGAATAGTGTAATTTTATATGAAAGACAAAAAACCTTTTAAAATGAACTTATTTACCCAAAAAAATTCAGATACGGTGATTTTCACTTACGCTAAATCATAGTTCTGCAGGCGTAAAACGCGCTATGTACAATTTTTGTGACGAAGTTATTATTCTTTCTCACCTCTCCACGCTAAATATGTGTTAAAATATGTCAGAATTTAAGCGTTTTAATTTAAATAAATTGCATGGGTGAAAACGAATGTGAAAAGTTCTTTCAACACGTTTATTTCATTAAATTGTTTCAAACTACACTTAGAGCAAATAATAACATTTTTTTATAGTACAACTTTATTCTTTTCGTTCAGGTAAGTTAATCCAAAAATGCTTCCGATTTTCAGGCAAAATTGTAGATAGCCTTTGTAATAATATGTCCTTTTTGGAGTTAGAAAATCCCCGAGGTTCGGAGAGGTGCGGAACATTTATGGGGTGACCACTTTTCTTTGTAGCCTTTTTGCACAAGAAATCAAGTTTCTTAAATTCCTCGTCTTCCAATGACACCTTGTAATGAAGGAAAAAATTTCCACGGGTTGCTTTTATTTGCATTATATCACGTAAATATGGTCTATTTTGCGCTTTATTAATTTTTGCTTGTGATTGTGCATCGGCAAAATTGTGAAAAACAGTATTATCTTCTGATGGAGGCCCCACCAAAGGTAGAATCATTTTGGCTCTTCGTGACATAATGAAATTAATTATTTCGAAAAAATTTAATACTCTGGAAGCACACACTGACACACAGATTACACAAGTGGGTACTGCTGAATGAGTAAGTATGCAAACTGGCGGTATTGCTAATAGAAAACGCGGTAACCAACGTGTGCCAACACAAAACGCCGTATCTACACATTCGCAGTTGCAGATACGGCATTATTACTAGTATGCTGTAGTTACGGCACATTTCATTAGGAAAAAGCCGATTATTGCAGATACGGCCAAATAAAAAGTATTATTTATATAATTTCCTGAACAGATACCGCATTTTGGTTTAGTAAATCATCAGTTTACCCCACCAAGAGTTCATATTCACTAAAACATAAAAATCGAATTTTTTGTAGATACGGCATCTGTTCTTAGGACGGCAGTATTAATATGTATGATCTAAGGGTCTAGTTATCCATGAAAATGGTAAAATGACATTTGTTTGTTGTAAAGGCATCTGTTCTTAGGACGGCAGTATTAATATGTATGATCTAAGGGTCTAGTTATCCATGAAAATGGTAAAATGACATTTGTTTGTTGTAAAGTATCTGATAGCTAACTTTGAAGTTTATTCATGGTGCTGTACAAGTTTATTTCTAGAAAATATGCTTTTTCCGCCCCCTATACTGAAGAAAATGTAAACGTCGTTTTTGAGCACCTAGGTCTATTGAAGCTTGTCAGTTATTTTTATGTGTTACTTAATTTCATCTGCTATTCGTGTTTAGTTAACAACTTAATATAATAAGCCCTGGTTCCAGTTATTGTTTTAAATACGAATGTATTTTTATTATTTCATGCATAACTAGATCAAAATGAAAATAATTGAAAGATCTAATAATAATAATAATAAACTTTTGTAAAGAATTTAATAATCTATCGTATGATGTAATAATATACCGAGTGTTACATATAGTCACATGTTAGTTATTTGAAAAATGTGATGTTGCCGTTTTTTAAATTACAGATTTCGGTTCAGTTGAAAAAAATACACATTTTGATAATTTAACCGTCTTTCTAACTCTACAACTAAGAAAGTTAGCAATAGTGCAGACTTAATTTGAAATAAACTGTATATGTAATTTTGTTACTTATTAAATTTCCCTACAATCGGCTCTTGCTGTTGGAAATAAAGAATTATTTTATTTTAAACGAACACTTTTTCAAATCTTAAATTAGTAATACAGGGCGTCGAGTGGAAATTTAGACTCAACGGCAATATGCACTCTTACATCGTGCCAGCGTTTTGTACATTACTAATTCATATATTGCGCCATTGCGCGTCCCCTTCCAGCAATTGTATAAATCAGTGTATCCCGTCCACTTGCGACGCACCCTTAACACTGGTTATACAAATAAAAAACCATAGACTAAGAGCAAATTTATAAATTTATTTTTTATAATGTCGTAGTAGCATTATACTAAGGCATAATAATATTAATACAAAACTCTTGACAAACTACCAATATAAAATTGACAAAAATCGTATTTTTTAATATAGGTATGTATATTATATAAATAATATAAATCTAATATTGCTTTGTCATATCTAAATCAATATATTATCTATTACACTTAATAATAATAACACAAATCGCTTATGTTTTGACTTAAACAACGGGAACCGCGTCCCATTACAAAATATAGATAAAACTTACTATGTATGGAGGGAATATTTTGTATAAGTGAAAAAATGGTTTTAATATTTTTACAAAAAGGCATTTTCCTGGTAGCAAAGAAAAAATAAAAAATATATCCGCACGCAGCATAGCAAAAATAGCAAGTTTTTGAGCACTTTATATATAAACTTTTTTGACTCCGCGTTTAGTGCCGCTTGTACAAAATTAAAGACTACAAATTTGGTTAAATTGCACTAAACACGGTGATTGATATCGCAGAAAATTTTTCTTTTGTGCAGGGTCGAGGGAATAACTATTTACAAATTGACGGTAACACAGTAAATTATTTGACTGACCCACCTTTGATGGAATTAACATCTGCAACTTGTCCACTCTATGGTTAATCACTTTCTACAATTACGTAATAATTCTGTAAACAAGCTGCAGTAAATAATTTTATAAGCTTACTAACTTGGGGGGGCCACACGTGTCCGGCGAACTTATATCCGCGTGAGTGGTCGGTATATTTCGTTGTTGCGTACTGCAGGAAGGGACGAGGGGCGCCGATATCGGTGTTAGACCGGTACCGCCGACCATAAGCGAGTCAAAATTGAACTGCATGCCGCTAGAGGGCGTCGTTATCGATATACCGGCGAGTTCCGACACGCTACTTTTCACACTACAGACGTTTAATGAGCTCGGTCTGCTCGGTTTAACTAGTGGTAGTGCGGTTGAACTTAACATTACTTTCTTGGCGGGGAATGGAAACATGTCGGCGTCGATCTCTATACAGGAGGTGTCGATTATTTCGGTTTTGACGCGTTCCGTCGAGACTTTCTGATGGTAGGGTGGTATGACGAACGGTTTGATGTCGGGCGGACTTGGTGGGTTGTCATTTTGTTGGCCGTTTTGTAGACGACAGCAGTGAGAGGTGCGATGGGAATCCAGTAAGAATTCGAGTTCTTCTTTGATCGCCTGTAATTCTTGTAATTCGTTTTGCATTGCCAACTTCTTCTGTTCTAACCCGTCTGTTTCCTGTAACAAGATTTTTTTGTTAGTTGAATCTGAAATGAGATGAGATGTTGCAGTTTTGCACCACACAATCATTTAGTGTTTGGACTGGCAATTTTTTAAAAAATATTTGAATAATTTTAGTATTTGAATAGTTCTTTTGTTTCTATTGCACTAGTTTCATACATTTGTTTAAAACATGCCAGCTATAAAAAGTCGAGAAGACTTACATTTAGTAATGCATTGGTATGGTCGACTCGGCGTTTACGACAACGGGCTGCTGCCATTTTGTTTCGTTCGCGCCGTACTCGTCGACGTTCTTCTTCTTCGGGTGTCAAATTTAAATCTTTAACGGGTTTGCGTCCTCCCATATTGCGACGAGTATGCTCACTTTGTTGTCCACTCTTCGGCGGTGTGACCGGTGATCCGGGTCTCGAGTCTAAGTCTGTGCTCGCCTGAGAGTTGCTCCAAATTGACGATTTCGAGTATATATCAATTTCGGATGCGGGAATATACTGGTTATTACCTAAATGTATAAATGAGATCGTTTTCGTACTCGAAAAACCTAAGACTTACCTATAGCGTGAACGAGTGGGGGTACAAAACCTGCTTCATTCTCGTGACTTTCAGGCTTACTTTGTAGTTCGATGAAGGTTTGTTCGATATTTCGTAATGTTGTTGGTGTTAGTGTGGGTGTAGTTCTGGTTGGTACTCCTGAATTTAGCCCTTCGAGAGTTATGAACTGTAACAAAGAAGGTGGCGTCAATAATGGGCGCAGTGGAATTTATCTTATCTTTTTAGTATTGATAAGCAGAGTGTTAGAGGGAAAAATTTTATAACCGTCTCTAATTGAGAACAGGCAAAGGTTCAACTTAGTTAACCTTTTGAAAGCTTTAATGGTTAACGGTATATAAATAAATTACACCGTTGAAGGGCAGTATCTTGCATCAGAGAGTCAAGGTTTGATGTTATGAATGCATGGCGTTTGGTTTAGTAGGGAAAAAATCTATTAGACAAAACTAGTTGGAGCTTTTTAGATAATGGGTTTCCGGAGCTGGTTTGGTTTTTGATACCTGTGGTCGATTACAAAAATCGGTAAACCGTACCTGTTGATAAAACAACTCTTGTGCGAGGAAATTGGCGATTTCCTTCTGATCCATAAGTGCCATTTAAACAGAATACGCCGCACAGAAGAAAAAAATCGAAAAAGGCGAAAAAATCGAGAGGATTTTCGAATAATATCGTTTTAATATCGAGTCGTTCGTTCGTTTTCTTTTTTTGCTGTGCAAAACTTTTCACCGAGGCACACTGCACAGCGCGTTTAAGAATGATTTGCTAAGAGGAAATTTTGGTTTGTCGCCCACTGGTGCTGTTTTTAGCTCGAGGTAACTTGTAGTTCGCACAATCTGCTGTATATTTATTTATATCGGTCGTATTTTGTATTTAATGCGCATCTAATTTTTGCATTCGAAAAATTGCGGCAAATTTCGAATGACGGTAAAGAGCGCGTTGACCGCTTGCTTGATTAATTAGAAGATACATACTTAAAACGGAAATTGCGGCTCCGCAATACCAAAATAGAGTCCCCATTTGCATTTTCAAGAATAAGCGATTCTGTGAAATTGGCACGGCGGCAGTTGCCACTTGAAAATGATCATTACGTAACGAAAATCGAATTTTGAAAAAAGTCAACATTTGATCAAGGTTTGATGATTCTGGCTCAACTCCAAAAGCGTGCCGCACAATCAAAACGACAACAAAAACACGATAGACAATGCGTTTTTGATAAGGATAAAAAGAGAAGCCACATCCAGGATGTTTAAAACTAAAGTGATACTAAAACATTTTATTGTACTTTCTGTAAATACGACAATAACCTTGGAAATAATGACCAAAATAATTTCGAGTCGAGCGAGTAGCGGATGAATCGGAAATGCTCCGCATTCTATAAGGAGACGTATTTAGCATGTGAAGGTTAAACGTGCAAGCCCATGCGGTTCAGAGGCATCTCATCAAAAATAAGTTAACTGACCTAGTAAACGTACAGCCCTGCCCTTGAACCCAACGCCATCTACAGGACCTAACTAACAACAGCCTAAAAATTTACCTTTTTTTAGGAAACTCCGATAAAAACTGCACCTAAATTTTGCGTCATTTCAAATTGGAAATTACGCAAATAGATAATTAGCGATAGCAAAGGAAAAAAGGACGGGATACGCTTCGACTGGCGCTATCGTTATAACAGATATAACGGAACGACCGACGTCTAGGGAAAAGGCAGATAACAAAACAATGTAACTGCAGAGAAACAAAGAGACGAACCTTGAATATTAATCGCTTAAGCGAGAATGCAAAAATTCCTTGCAATAAAAGGTAATAACGCGCAATTTAGTTTTACAAAATAGGACTAAAAACGAGAAATAACCTTGAATATCTAAAGACGTTTTAATAAAGCGGATATTGTGGTTGTATGTACACAAATTGTGCTAACCTCACTTTATGTGCAACATTGCGAAATTACGCCCATTTACAGAAACAAAGCGGACATCTCGGGAGTGCACTTACCAGCGCAACAACAAATTAATCCTTTACGAAACAAAAACTGTTGCGTATAAAAACAAAACACGGTATGAGATGGGCTCATCAAAGGCTTTCAGTAAACTAACTTATCGGCGGGAATAGTTGGAATTGTTTCTGGTGTCAGTTAGTGATAACTCACATGATCAATGACGTCATTGACCTTCCAAACAATCCGAAGTATTTCAAGAGGAGGCCAACCCCCATTTTCTCCACCTCTTATGCTGGAGGGGAGAAGAGGGGGTGCCTTTTCACCTTCCGTTATTTGAGTAAAAACGAAATGACGGATGACGTCATGGGCATTCCAAAACCACCTACTACAGGTAGCGCGAAGTGAAAGAGGATAACCGGAGACGGAACTGAACGCTTCCAGTACGTGATTATGTCACTTTCGAAATTAACGGAATTCGTTCCCAGAAATCGGTAACAAAGCGACCACCTGGCGATATCAACGCACGTGCGCTTTTCATAACATTTGCTGAATCACCTTCACCGCGCTATCTCGTCTTTGTTTTATTAATTGTTATTTAAAGTCTGTCCCCATTAATAACTAGCATCGCACTATTTAAAAGTAGAATCGAAATGAGTCACCCTTTTTTTTTTTGAAAATTGCGTCCCGGTAATCGCAACTTACCATTTTGGCGTTATCGATTGAATCGTAATTGTACAAAAAGTCACTGTCCTGGGAGTCTTCCAGCCCAAAATTCAGAAACGGCACGAGCTGAGACATAGGTAAAACGTGTGTGGAGAACAATAACAAATACACGCACGTTACGTTATTAAAAACTGTGAAACAACTGTAACTCGTACAACTGCGAATACTTGTTTTATAATCTTAGAAGGCTATAATACTCTTACTTCTCACTCACACACACGCGAAAACCTATACCCCTCCTTATCCCACCCACTTAAAGTGACGTCAGACTCACGTAAAGGTGGAGGGAACGTTCCTAGAATGAATTTTTTGAAAAACAATTTTAAGAAAATCAGCGCCAAGTATATCAATTTCGAGTGGTTCACGGAAGGACGGATCTATAATCGGATGTAGGAAATACCTATACTGATAAATTAGGGCCTCGCACTGGAATGGTATAATTGTTGGTAATTAAGCTTATTTGTCTTCGTACGTGACTTTTGACCGTTAACAATTTAACTCGCATTAGTAAAAATTGGTTAGTTAAAGCGAAGACGTCAGGGAAGAGCAAACGCGTTGTTCCGATTACCTTATTTTTGATCAAACAGAAAGTGGACAATGGAATTATCATATTATGTTACGGTTCAAATACCCCAAATGACCATTGACCTGAAGTACATAGGGGTTACGAACTCAAAAATGTCTCGGCGCAACATGTTTTTCTTTTCATTGTGAATAAAACGAGGGAATGTAATGGGAAATGCGACGGTGCGGTGCGGTGGCACTTGTTCAAATTAAATAACTTCTACTTTTAACCTCTAATTAAGTCGTAATCTACCAATTGTTTGGAACAATTGACTCCTCGTAGCCTTTAATTAAAGGGTTGCTTAAATAGGTCGGCACTTTTCTCGTGTAACCCTAAATCTGAAGATTTTCGGACAACGGAGGCATTTTTGCAACATTTGAACGTAGGCACGCGACAAAATGACTGCAACATTTCATTGTAATTAGTTTATTAATAGAATGGGTAGCGGTGAACCATTTCGGGTAATTTAAGGCGTAATTAATGAATTTTCCTCGACCACAAAAGAAACAATTATGTATCTATTGAACACTTAAAATTGGCGGATTTGAAGTATAGAAAGTTATCAACAACTGGAATATTGTGGGTGAAATATCCCATTGTGTCGTTCAAGCTACGAAAATAAACCACAACAGGGTAATACAACTGGCTGCACTGCATATAGTGTCAGATAAATTATTGCAGGTTCATCTAGTTAGATTTTAATAGTGCTAGAATTTTAAATAAAGAAACTGCATGCCTCCCTAGATTCCCTCAATTATACAATGAGGAATCCAACATGTTTACTACCCAGGCGTTAGTAGGGAGGTTTTATCGTTGGGGTAACAAATGTGAAATGGCCCTCCACTTTTTTGACAGAAATACACGTTTTGAAGCACCAGGAATCCGCACCAAACCAAATCTGGGTAATATCGGTCGGTCTGTCTGTTTCTGCTCTCATTTCCGGTTAAACGGTTGAGCCGATTTACACATTTTACATACGGGCGATCAAAAATGAGTCGCCTTTGGAAGTTCAAGTGAAGTACGATTTCCCATGTAAACAAAAATTCCAAAGGTGACTCGACAGCAACTCATTTTTGATCGCATTGTCTTCTTAAACGCTCCATACACGTGTCGATTTGCGTCCTGAACGTCTAAGCCTAAAGTTTAGGACACCCAAGCGAGGCCGACTTTTCCTTTTTAGCGAAAGTATGACTTTCCTCCTTCGCAAATGACACCTTTAAGCAAAACATGCCATACATAAATAAGGGGCGACATATTTATCATGTTCACTATTGTCATTTCTAGATCTGCATCATGCTCAAAGCAACACTAAATACGTATCGTATATTGTCTAGAAGCAATGCTTTAGTTATAACTGTAATTTCAGTGATTTCGATTTAATTTGAATGTGCTAGAATTTTATACGATTAAAGGATCTATGAATAGAAGAGTGGCCCGCAGTTAGAGTCCTGTGAATCCCCTTTTTATAAATTTAAGTGAAGTAAAGTTTTGTTTGTTTTGTTGATTAGTCGTGGTCCGTGGATCTCTATGATAAATTTTCATCATGCCCCAAATCCATTATGTAAACCGTAAATATTTTGTGGTCGCGAATACAATTGTGCAGCATATGACACTGTACTGCAACTATTTACTGAAGGTGTCGAAAATTGTTCACTTCCCGTAAAATTATAACCGGATATTAATGTTGACAATGTTATCTTATCTAAACGATAGAGTTTTAATACGTGATATTTTACTATAACCTGCACATAAAACTATGAGGTAATTGTTCTAATTTTTCAATCAATGAGTCATAAGTACCGTGCTAATGTGCATTGTGGTGAATTGTTTTGGTTATTATAGGTACCTACTTTTTTTTTTAGTTTGACTTCTTTTATAAAGTGAGTGGCGTGTGTATAGGTAGCCCAGTACCAGAGGACCAGAGCCTACTACAACTGGGGGCTTTTTTAAACTAAAGAGTACACAGCACACCGCGTCATAGTTGGCAATGGACGGTAACATTCGAAATAACTGACAGGCCCGTCTGAAGAGTGTATTGAGGTTCGTTCAGGATAAACACCTTATCATATCACCGCCAACTATGATGCTGAATTTTTAGAATCGCTCTGTATATTTAGTAATTCTTGGATACGCGCAATCAGTGTTGTAATACCTTTACGGATATGCTTGTACTGACTACCGTCCAAATGCGGCTAACCAATACACGGAAAATTGATAACCAAAACAACAATACTGTTTCATATGACTTCAGTATACTAATTAAATTCGCATTCAGTTTTCATGATCCCTTGAGTTAAAAAAGACCATCCCCACTGTAGTACCTACTCCAACCAACAGAACTAAGGATTTTAGACGCAGTTCGATGCGACTCGTAGCGAGCTTTCCAAAAAGTGAAGTATGACTTCTTCTGACCCGTACAAGTAGATGGCGAATTCCCTTTTCTGGGGACATATCCTGTGCCAGACAGTCAAATGACACCCCAGACGGACTCACCAGTCTGAGGTCGAGTCAAGAGCCGTGCCGCGCTAAATTTGTGTTTCTGAACAGGTTCACTCAACAAGCATACGCACTGAATCTGTTCAAAAACGCAAATCTGGCGAGTCACGTGGCTTTCCGTAAAACGAGTGCAACCCTGAAGCGTCATGTAATTGTCTGGCATAGGTGTCCCCATATTTGCTGACACGTCTCATTAAAACTTTTCATTTTCACTAGGAGAGTACTCTTTCCTGACATATACTGTGTGTAACAAGACCTTATCTTCTTCAGTCTGAATAAGTATACAACGTGGTATACAGGGTGTGCGAAAAGTATGGCATATCGTATATATTTTTGTGAATATCCATTTTATCCAAAAAGGTCTCAAATAAAAGTTGTTTGGCATTTAATTTCTCATCACATGAACTTTTTATTTTTTTAATTTTGTTTTCATACAAAAGCGCCACGCAAAGATGTAGCTTTTGCCAACTTATTTGATATAGTGTTTTATTCCCTTTTAGATTCATGAGCAGTTTTTCGTGATTTTCATTATTCAAATGCAAGGGTATCAATATTTTACATGTGTGAAAACGTAATAAATAATCAAAAAAGTTGGTAAAAGATACATATCTTGTCATTTAAAACAAAAAATATTTTTTTATGTAGCGCTTTTGTTTTAAAAAATAAGAAACAAAGAATTCCATGTGATAAAAAATTAAATACAAAATTTAGTATCGTTGAATTCAGAAAATTATGCGAAATGCAATAACATACAGCGCGTTCCATTAAAAAATCCAAAATTATCGGCATTTCCGGCGATACGAAAAGTAAAAATGAAATGTCAAAAGGTGTCGCTGATGTTGTTTATAACATAATTATCCAATTCAAATAAATTCATTCATAAATATCTTCAAAACTAAAGGGGAAAGGGGGGGGGGGGGTAGCAAGGTCCCTCTACGCCCCGTATGAGGACCTATAGTCAATCTATACAGGGCGAGATACAATACAGGGTGTTACATTATATGTATGTAACAAAAATTCGTTCGTTAAGCCACTTGCGAGCAAGAGACGAAGAGTGGTAATCGATGTAGCTCGTAATACACGGTGTCCATTTTTCGAGTGCCACTATGAGGATCTCGCTTATCTTAAGAGATAGAAAGTTGGTTAAATGGGGGAAAAGTTGCGAATTTCCCTGCTGAATAACCATCTGAAAAGAAATTTAAAATATCATCAATAGTTCTGAAAATATCGCAAAAAAACGAAACTTTCTGATTTTCGTTTTTAATTTTTTCATGATAAACTAGTCGTACTAGACATTTCTAATTAACACATTATTCGAACACTTTTCAATGGAGATTTTGAATGTGACATCTCGTTTTAAAAAACTTTTAAGATGACAGAGAAACACGTGGCAACTTTAGTTTTTCTTATGGGCGCCATTTATAATTTTGAGATTTTAAGATTACGTCTTTTTTTCTCTTTACGACGATATATTACACATGGTGGTTCAGTATCACATTTTTCCTAAAATGCAATTTTTTGTTTTTTGGGAAGAGTGCTTTGGAAAAACAAAACGTTCTTTTATTGTGAACAAAAGTTTGAGAGTTTGATGCATATGTCCGGTTGCAGCGTTGGCATCAGGGAACTAGATGTGTTGAGAAAATTCGATGTTCATATATGAACAGAATTGAACCTTCGTTTTGCAAGAAAATTATAATTCAAATTAGAACAAAATACATAAGAATAAATAATATTTTAGCAATAAAACTAGCACAAACAAAAAAATTCGCAACTTTGCCCTAATTTAACCAAGTTTCTATCTCTTAAGATAAGCGAGATCCCCATAGTGGCACTCGAAAAATGGACACCGTGTATATAAAATTACCATCCTAGACGGCTACCCCACCAATCCCAAATGAAAAGTTTTCATTTCGTAATGTTATTGTGTAATTAAATAAATCGTGCCAGAATACTAATCCGACAAATTCCCTGGAAAATGTGTCCGATAGAAATTCTCGCACGATTTGGTTGTTGTGTGTGGGTGCACCATCCTGTTGAAGAAACCAACAGTTTTCAACTTTTGTCTTTTCATGTGCCGTACATCATTGTATCCATCATTAAAAAATGCTACTCAATACAGGACGTTAAATGTCTAGACGATTCTGCTTAAGGTAAAAAAAATTCTAAAATGTCTTAAGTACATGTTCTGAAAAGCTTATGAAACGTGGAAATATTTGCTTCTTATTTTCATTTAGTGGGTACGTAGTTTCTCAAATTTTTCTACATATTTTGAAATAATTCAAATTCTACAATTTCATTCATCCAAGCAAGATTCTTAAACAATTCCCGTCATTTTTGATATACTTATTACTTATTAGGGTTTAGTCTCGAAAGTGGATGCAACATTGCGTGAACAATATGCAGTAGATCAAATACCAAATTTCTTTTCGATTTGTTGCCGGAATTATTAAGACATATGTTGACCAGCACATACCAAGCAAAGTGAGTAATTGATTTTGACCGTCCAATATACAATAAATAAACCAGTTTCAGATGATAACGCCGAAATTTGTTACCAGTTGTGCCGTGATCGCGTTTCGGAGTGTACTGTATCAACAGCCCTAACAATTTCCACGATATTAACTAATTGACTTTAGTAAATTAAACTATTCATTGTGCTTGATTGAATACGATTTAGTGCCATCATCAATGAACGAAAATGGCGAGGAAAATGGTATGAAAATTCAATGTTATTCCAAAAGAAAAGCTAGAAAACTCGATATCGACGCAACATCCACTTCCACTATAGTAAGTACATAAATCCAAAATTAAAAATGTTATTTTATAATTTTGAAAACGAATGTGTCAATTAATCGCATTGGGTCTTGGCGTTGAACTAGCAGCCCCGCCAACAGAAGTTCATTCGCTTTTCCAAAATATGAAACTTGGTGGAGGTATCAAATTTTACGATGATTGATTAACTATCTATAACACAACTACACTACAGGCCATATTGATTTCACAAAACTAGTTTATTCCTGCACAAATAAGGTTTTCTCGAGGGTTTTCTGAACGCCAGATTGATACCTAACTTTTACCGGTGGATGAAGTTGTTTTTGTAGGAAGTCATAGCTACTCTTTTCTAAAGAATTTTGTTTGAATGTTGTTTTGAATTACAAAAAACAAACGCGACCTGCAAAGTATCTTTTTGCAATCTACGACCTACGCCCTTATAAAATTGAACCAAAAGAATGAAAATTGTTTAAATACAGCAAAGTTTGGCTACTTTTTAAAATAACACCTACCTACTCGAAAACAAACGTGACGTAGTGATAAGGTTACAAAGAAAATGTATAATCTGAGTAAAACCACCTCTTATCGATCATGTTATCTTCGGTAAGTACTTATGAGATAAATTTCAATTACATAAGAACCGCGGTAATTGCACATTTCTTGGTAGCGCACGACCTTGAAAAGTAGATCTGGATTGATTACTTAACAGTAGACTCAAAGGGGGTGTTCCAGTACTCTAGTTTAGATCGAATGGGAAAATCCGGCTCACTTTCACTTGAAAACGGCTTATTGATTTCGCCAATATCAAGGTCGTTTCTTTGGTTTTTTTGTTAATTTGAGCATGTCGTGACAACACCGAATTACTTAAATGCAATTTCCAACCCTCCGACGCCTGCATCCCGACAGACCGTCCGGCGCCAAACAAATTCAAACGGTTCCGCCGGACTGACCACCCCCACGTCTACACGGCTCTCCCTACGCGTGCAGCACACATATTCTTATTAGATCAATAGAAACGAGGGTGCATATTAAAGTTGCCAAAACTAGTCGCGAAAAGCTTATCTAAGATAGGTACGATTGATTCAAGTAGGTCTGTTACAAGGTGAAGCGTTACGAAATTGCCTTCTAAAAGACGTCGTTTACCGTAAAAGGTTAAGAAGAAAAACTTACTGATGCCGCATTAATTTGTAGTCCATTCCCAGAAGACGTGAGAAAATCGCTGGACGTTTGCGAGTTTTGGCTGTCGCTCGAAAAATCCGAGTTCGTCGAAAGTCCATCGCTATAGTCCATTTTCATGAGTTTTACTATTGCGCTGAGCCGAGCACGCGGTGCTGTTTGTTATGAACAGAATTGACAATGCACGTTGTTAGCCTTCGTCCAGTGTTTATTCAACAGCTGTAATTGGCGAATAAATATAAACTGCTATTGGTGAAACACGGCACGGCAGTTACCGATCACTTTTATTAACGAACTCACAAAAACGTTCAAATCTCGCAGTAAAATAAAATACGAAAAAAACGACTGTGATGCGTGTGACTCACTAAGGGAAACCCTTCCGAGAACCACCGACCGATCTGATGTCACAACCAAAAATACAACCGTGACTAACGAGAAATGCACCAATGGGAGAGTGGGATTTTCAGAAGCGTTCCGATTCTTTACGTTTTTAAACGAACTGGTTCTTGCGAACGTTGAACAATTTACAGTTATTATTTCCACGGAAAACGATGACTCATCGTTGCGTAGGCTAATGGGATTGCTTTTTATTATTCGAAAAATAACACTGGCGTCTTCGCTTAGGTAGAAAAAAAATTGTTATTAGGCATCGGACACAAATGAAAATGATTCACTGCAGTAATTCTAAAGGTCGCATTTTAATGGGTCACTGTAAACTAACATAACGCAAAATAGGTCTCGAAATTGACCTTCGATTTACACGTCGAGATTAATTTATTTTTCAAATTGTCAAGTGTTGAAAAGTGTATGAATAAAAATGAGAGCAGTGGCGTAACTCGCATACGAATTGCATAAGACCCCAATAAAATTAGCTAAATACGGCCGACGAGGGCCCCAGGGCTGTGAATTTTCGGCCCCTTTCTAGGTATTTCAACTGATCTGTTAAGGGCTTGAACCAGCGTTCCTCGTTAGTCATTCCCAATCTTGATTAAGTTTGAATTTATTCGAGTCTTATTTTTCACGAGAAAATAGATATCGGGAGGAGATAAGATATGATGGGGTTTAGCTTTGGGAAATACTGGACTCTAACTACCCTTACGTCTCCTCTTCACGACGGATCTCAAAATTCAGAACGAAATTGAGATTAGTAAAGGCCCAAGGGAACTGTGATGCTAGAGGCACAAGGTATTTAAAGATCCTCAGTCTTCGAAAATCTGAAGTGACTATTGGGGCCTAATTTATTTCGAAAGGGCCCAAAAACTACCTAACAACCAGTAGGTATACATGCGGAATAGCTGAGGCTTGAAATTTTAAATATTTGAAAGATTTAGCTCGCTAGCAAACTCGCTGTTAGCCTCCACAATTCCTGCAAATATTTATGATTACCGGGTCTCTGATACGCGTACAGCAACATTCATAATTTCTGTAATTTATTATAATTAAAATACAACTTGAAAATCAGGTTTGAATGGCGCCTTAGGCCTATGAGGGTGCGCATGGGTCTCGCGAGACGTGTATGGGCGACCCTAGCTAAACATCTCTAATTCTCTTGCAAGAGTGCGCCACTACGAGATGGTTAGTTTGGCTTGCATCGTCGTGCATAATACAAAACTTTATTTTATAGCAGAAGTCATAGAAATCATTATCAAACTTCTGAAAATTCTGTAGGTATTTAATTTAGATGTCCAAAATAGCAAGCCGAACTTCATTTTATATCGTGCTGCACGTCCTATTTTTAATAAGAATGAGAGATGTCATTGGAATGTACAATGATCTGTTTCGCTTTATCTACCCTTGCCGTTAAAGTGATCACTCCCATATAGCACCCAAGGCTTCGGAAATATTTCAGAAACATGCCAATCCGTCAAGAATCTTACATTTCAAAGCAAATGTTTCAGCAACATGTCGTTTTGAAATATTGCAATTTAAATAAACCGAAATCTTGATGAAACATTCCATGTTAGAAATCTTGCATTCATTATTTTTTACTTAATTGAACTTTGGAATGAAGGAAAAACAACAATTAGTATATTGTAATGTAATATTGTAATGTACTCTATGTAAGCTCAAGGAATATTTAACCACAATTCAACAATGACATCCTCGGAGTACATCGTTTACCATCGCGATCGCATTTTGTTTTAAATTCAGATGAGATGCCATTTACATGACACAACTAAGATTATAACACATCGGTAACCTTCGAGCGATCGGTTTTAACTGGTGCAATTGCAGGATCGGGGTAAATCTTATCGTGTATTGATATTGCGTTTTTGTTGTGACCTTTTTTACCGGCCGGCGGTTAATTACCTGCGTAAGATTTTAGTGCTTTCAATTACCAGGTATGTATATTTTTATTCGTTCTTAAAATGCTTTCAATTACCAGGTATGTATATTTTTATTCGTTCTTAAAATTTTAATCTAAAAGCTGTGCGCCCAGGAATTGTAATACCTTATTTTATGTCACATAACCTTAAATGTATGAAAAGGCGGTTGAAAATAAATAGCCCGTTCAAAGCATGAATCGCTATCACATATAGGTTTCGATTACGCTACGTACCTATCGCGATCGGTTTTGCTGAAACTGTGAACTGTAAAGAAGTGAATTTCGACGATACATTTTTTCGGTATCGATAGTAATCGTATCGACCTTGTGGTGCAATAAAGTTATCAAAGAGATATAAATCCTTGCCTATCGATTCAAGCATTGAACACCACTAATGCCCGTACTAATATTCGTGTATTGATCCGAGATCGAAGTAATCTCGGATTGACAAGTGACGTTTTCTATAGAAAACGAGAATTAATCTTCGATCTCGGATCAATACACGACTACCTACTAATACAGGCATAAATGACTAATACAGCAATAGCATAAGGTGGTTAATTTCCCCTCCCAATGAATTCGTTGACTTACATTAATAAATGGCGTCCAAAAGTATTTCGTACCATGTCTTAAAAATAAATACCTTTGTGTTCGTAATATTTTTCAGGACATGCAAAGAAGGTCCTAAACTTTAAAGCTTTTGGCGAACAATTTGGCTGTTTATTTTGTGCCCTCTCCAAGTATAGCTAATACATTGCATATGTGTTTTTGGCCTACAATATCAGGAATGTAATCAGCGGAAGTTGATCGCTAACAGAATCTTTTGCTGCGCTAACATACCAACTTCTTTGCAGATTTCCAAACATGGGAAGAATTAAATTAAAAAATTATAATAACATATCCCTAAGACATAGAAGACGATTGCTAAACAAAAATACAAAATCTAACCTAGTCGTTGGGAATAACTCGAAGAATGATTCATTGGGGAATCCCGAGGAGAATCCAATTTCTGTAATTGTTAATCGATTCCATTCTCAGTGTAGTCAAAATACCCACAATACGGTTTGTAAAACTGCAACGTTTGATAGTAATGTTACAAGTGCAGCATCGCATTCCAATGAAAACTTGTGTGAATATGTAGATGTTGGAGATGAATATTGTTCTGGACCGATTTTACACAACACTGAACATATTGCTTTTAAGAATACAGAGACTGTTGTGAGTGTGGACCCCCCTCGAGATACTCCACATGTTCATAATGATTCATCAATTCAACTACAAGAACAACTTGCAAATTGGGCTCTAATCTTCAATGTTAATTTAAATGCAGTGTCAGCACTGTTACATATTATAAACAATTTCACAACTTATTCGTTACCTAAAGACGCTCGAACTTTACTACAAACTCCTCGTCACACAATTGTAAAAAGTATGGGAAGGGGTCAATATCTACACTTGGGTTTAGAGAATGCACTGAAAAAAATGATAAATCAACAAGTTCAACATAATAATGAAATTGATCTTTTAATAAATATTGACGGACTACCTATTTCTCGTTCTTCTACAGCATGTTTATGGCCAATATTGTGTTCTGACAACGTAACAAAACAAGTTTTTATGGTCGGGTCATACTACGGTCACGAAAAACCTACTGACGTCGCTTTGTATCTCCAACAGTTTGTTGATGAAGCTATATTACTTGTGCAGAATGGGTATTGTTTAAACAATAAAATATATAAGGTGAACATATCTGCACTCATTTGTGATGCTCCAGCGAAATCTTTTGCTTTGTGTATAAAAGGTCACACAGGTTATAACAGCTGCAGTAAATGCAAAATAGAAGGACAATATATCAACAATCGTATATGTTTTCCATTTGGATCGGGTGGAAGCAATATATTAAGGAAGAGCGAAGATTTTTGGCAAGATGGTGATGAGGAGTTTCAATATGATAAAAGTCCTTTCTTAAACATACCCAATTTTAATCCAGTTTTAAATGTCCCTTTGGATTATTTACACCTTATATGCTTGGGAGTTGTAAAAAAACTCATTCTTTTGTGGATGTCTGGAAAACCCCTTAATATCAGAATCCCTGGAATGACAATAAATAAAATATCTTCAGATATATTGAAATGCCAAAAGACTGTTCCAAGAGAAATTGTGCGGAAACCTCGATCGTTGTCAGACATACATCATTGGAAAGGAACAGAGTTTCGCTCATTTTTATTGTATGTTGGACCTGTTGTATTAAAAAAATATTTAAGTGCTGATATGTACTTAAACTTTTTGACATTACATACTGCAATTCGAATATTATGTAATCCTAACATATCTGAAGATAATAATTATATTGTATATGCTGAGAATCTGTTGATACATTTTGTGCAATCTTTTGGAATTATTTATGGAAATGATAAAATTTCACACAATGTCCATAATTTAATTCATATTGCAGATGACGCTAAAAAGTTTGGATCTCTAGACAATTTTAGCGCTTTTAGGTTTGAAAATTACATGTCTCACATAAAAAAACTTATTCGGAAAAACAATCAACCTCTGCAACAGTTAGCACGACGTTATACTGAACTTGAACAACTTATAAATTTAAATCCAACGTCAAAAGTACATTTAAAGAAATTGCACAGTGAAGAATTGTCAATTGATAGCCTTGCTTTTATAAACAATATTCTTCAGTTTAAAATATATGAAAGTGAGAAATATATAATAGATTCTAGACATTTTAAAGATAGTTGCATCCTTTTACACAGTGGAGAAATTTTTTGTGTTTTGAACATCATTTGTGAAGAAGGGAATAAAAATGTACGTTTTGTGGGCAAATGTTTAAAAAAACTAGAATCTGCATTGTACTCTCAGCCCTGCAGTTCAAGAGATCTAGATATTTACATTGTTAGAGAACCATCCCATTCAAACAATGTCACTATACGAGACATTTCAGCAACAAAATACAAATTGTGGATGGTACCATATCAGCAATCAACTTTTGTTGCAATTCCATTATTACATACAAATTCATAGTTAATCGATAATAATTAATCAATCTTTAATACATATTTGTACATATTAATACCACCAATAGCATGTTGCATATAAATTACTCATTGATACCATAGGTACTTACCTGCTAAAATTTTTACATATTTACTTATATATTATTTTTAGTTCAGAAAATTTTGGGAATTCCAAAATAATGAGTTATTCAGTCGTAGAATTCTCAGATGGGGTACAAGTAGTACCCACTAGTTGGATTTTCAAGGAATGTAATATTGATATGTGCTGGTGGCCTCCCAACTGCAATGATAAATTTCAAATAAATAGATTAGTATCTGGGAATCACAACCCAGAGTCAAACTGGAAAAAACATAAACTACTTAAAATATTTTGTCAAACCCGTAAGTACCAACACCACTTTTCTAAATTCTGTTTTTTAATTTGGTGTTAATTTTTTTAGCTACCTATGAAAAAGGGAAGGAGAAACTTGAATATGCCTTACTATTATCCGATGTTGAAGTAGAAGATGATGCGGTAAAAAGAAGCAGGCATCAAAGACACTGTTCCAAACGAGACGCGGCCTGTGTGGATACTGATGAAGCCCATAGTAAGAGTAACAAAAAAAGATTAAGAGTCATCTATGAAAGTGATGAAGAATCCTCAACTGGAAGTGATACAAAACTGACGCAAATGCCTCCGTTCCCACCTATACCCTCATTGCTCTCGAGATTAAGAGAAACAGAAGATAATGGTCCAGAGAAGGCTGATGGGTCTGATGTATCCACTGGTGTATCTACACCTGTATCTAGAGGTGATTTTGAACCTGGTAAGGAAAATCATTAATTGATTAAGATTTAAATTATTGATTTTAGGTGGTGCTACAGATATAAACAGAAAATTAAACTTAATATTGCATAAATTGCATGTAATAGAAAACCGATTAAATACCTTAGATAGTGTGCAACAATCTCAGACAGTGCAGTTAACTAAAACTGTGCAAGATTTGTACAAAATTTTTCCCTTAGGCAGTCACGAAGAACTTGACAATTTTGAAAAAGAGCTGGAAGGTGAAACTTATTTTAAGAAAATGGTAACAACCAATGGCAATATTTCATTTTCTAAAATGTATATTATAGGTGTCTGAATTTACAACAATTGGTGGCCATGATGTACAGTCGCTGACTGTAAATATCTTAAAAAAACTTTTAAGCAACAAGGTGGCTGTGGAGTATAGTTTGCAAGGAAAAAAGAAAAAGAAAATCTTTAAAAATTTACTTTCTTATCAAATGATAATAAGTGCTGTTCGATATCACAAATCGTGTGCAACAGAAGTCGACATTTCTGGTTGCATAGCAACCTGGTTAAGTCAGTCTGGTTTAAGAATGGCACGTGAAATGTAAGTATGTTTACTCTCTTATTTTTATATTATATCTTAACATCTACAATAAGTACATCATTAACGGGCGGAATTATAAGGCATACTTAACTATGTTTGTTAGCTAACAATGTTGTTAGGACAAGTGATTGGATGTTTTTGCAAAAAGTGATGTTATTCTTTGAAAAAACATCCAGTCACATGCCTTAACAACATTGTTAGCTGATTACATAGTCAAGTATGCTTATAATATCGGCCGTATATAAATGCTACTATTGTCAAAAGACAAGGCCAAGCATTTGATGTGGCGTATAACTCAAATAAGTCTGATGGTACAGTGTAAAAAAATACAATCATTTTTCCTCCCTTGTATTGTATTTATTTAATCATGAAACTAAACAATATTTTTTGTTGCAGTAATAAGCGGCTACCAGCCGAGCAATTGATGGTGGAACCTACCCCCCAATAAGCATACTAATTAGTTATGTTTTATGCATTTATATATAAATTTATTATAGTGTACATTTAGTCTATAAATAAATATATATGAACATTGTATGAAATATTTTCAAAGCATGACAGAAACATTTCACCAAAAAGCATCAGAAATATTTCAGAAATGAGAAATATGTGCGGACATTTTAGCATTTATAAATGTTGCAGGAATATTTCGAAAATGTTTCGTAATATTACTGAAATATATGCAATGTTTCAGTGAAATATTACTGACATAATTATGAAAGTTATTGAGCTATATGGTCTATCTACCCTTACAGTAAAAAAGACACTACTCATTGAAACCTATTAAAATTATTAGTATTATAAGTTACTAATTTAGTTATTATTTTAGCTATAAGAAACACTACGTGCTTATAATGAAGTTAAGTTAAGTTTGTCCTGTAATTGGAAAGATTTTTTGTTGGGCATTTATTAAATATTATTATTATTAGTAAAATGTCAATTTAACATCTACTATAAAATAAAAAATCAAAGGTTTAACTTACATAAGTTACACGGTTTGTTCACAATTAAACTTCCATTGAATTTTTGGAATCGCTCGATAGTATTTCATGCGGTGATGACGCCCGGCAGCAATGACATCTGATCCGCTGATCTAAGCAACTAAATTTGAACAAAACCGAACATTACGAACACCTGCAAAAATTAGAGCGCAACCAGCGACACCTCACACGACTGATTTCGATAGGGATAAGGTTTACTGTACCTAATTTAATTAGCTACTATTATTTGCACTTACTTAATTGGCGGGTTGAAATTTCTAAAATCGGTAGTCCAATTGTTAATTGCAATTTCTCACGCCGGCATAAAGGTCGCTTATAAACGTGATAACTGAGTAAACTTGCACGCCCGTGCAGTTTTAATGCTCGTTTTAAATTAACATAGGAAACAAAACCCTGCTCATAATGGCTTAACATGACTGAAATTGTAAAATATTAATGTCTTCGTCTTCTAAATAAATAATTGAAATATCTTGACGGGAACGGTTGCAAACGGCGAATTAATTGCAGCTTTATTTACGGTAGCGGTGGTTCATGAAACACAACTTTAGAAATTAAATCAGTTACCTTTAGCTTGTATCTTCCATTCCTACAAACAACACAAATATTTTTGTCACACTTACCGTAACAAAGCGCCCAACTTAAAGCGGTTTTAGATACCAGGTGTTCAGCAGAGCTTGTCGACTCCACAAGTATACAGTGTGGTCACAACTTCGGGTATAAAACTTCAAAGCGAAAAATAGGTGCTTGGTTACTAATACTGTATGTGTTGGTGACATATAGACGATAAATATTCAAATGGTGCAAAGTGACCTCAAGAATGAAAAAAACTTTATTAAATATATTCGCTTTAAAATAAATTCCTTGAAAAAGTTTCGGCGGGTTCAGAGTCAAACCCTTTAGATGCGTTATTTAATTTTCAAAAAAATCTTTATGGACAACAGAACCTATTTTGGTCTACAGCGAGCCCTATACCATACGAATGTGCGTTTCTGACTAGCGATTACCCTTAATTTTTTCAGGTATACAGGGTGCCCCTAAAAGGTCTGTACAACGCGCTACCAGGGGTTCTTGGTATCAAAATAGGACGATTTAACCCAACTTACCTCTATCCAAAAGTGCTTCGGTAAGGCGCTATCTACCGCCAAAGATTTAAAAAAAAATCGTTATTTTTATTTTATCGGAAAATGGTTTTGCTGATTAAAATGAAATTCGGGATGTGAATGTCTAATGTAAAAAGGGTCTTTGTGATATCATCGTATTGATTGTAGTTGCTATGTAGGTGGTAAAATACTGACCATCCACATCTGAAGAGGTCTAAAACTTTTTAACTACCTACTTTTTTGACGGCTCTGAATTTTTAGACACTGATAGACAGTTTACTTGCAAGCATTTTTTGTCTCTTGATGAATATCGCTATTGGTGATGGTTTACGAAAAAAAAAAAAATTTAGGCATGATGAATGGCATGCACCATACATGCGATTGTTCCTCAAAAACCATAAGTGCAAGCAAGAAGTAGGCTATGACGATTTGGAAACCTGCGAGTATACTCCCTAACGCATTGGCGACCATTTCCACGACAGTATCCAAACACTAATAGCATATCAGTTAACTCTGCGTTATTGTATTGAAAGGCCATATTACAATTTTAACAATGAAATTTTAAGTCTTCAAGCAAAACGTAAGTTGTTCAAGTTTAAGAAACAACAAACAAACGTTACGCCACTCTAAGGTTTCACAGCCATCTTCTGATTTTTTGAGGAACAATCGCATGTATGGTGCATGCCATTCATCATGCCTAATTTTTTTTTTTCGTAAACCATCACAGATAGCGATATTCATCAAGAGACAAAAAATGCTTGCAAGTAAACTGTCTATCAGTGTCTAAAAATTCAGAACCGTCAAAATAGTAGTTAAAAAGTTTTAGACCTCTTCAGATGTGGATGGTCAGTATTTTACCCCCTACATAGCAACTACAATCAAAACGATGATATCACAAAGACCCTTTTTACATTAGACATTCACATCCCGAATTTCATTTTAATCGGCAAAACCATTTTCCGATAAAATAAAAATAACGATTTTTTTTTTAATCTTTGGCGGGAGATAGCGCCTTACCGAGGCACTTTTGGATAGAGGTAAGTTGGGTTAAATCGTCCTATTTTGATACCAAGAACCCCTGGTAGCGCGTTGTACAGACCTTTTAGGGACACCCTGTATATGCCTATTAGTGCAGAAAGAGTAATTTTCTTTTGAGAATCAAGGGCCTTGTGCTCGTCATTCTTTTGACGATGTACTTGGGAATGCAGGAAAATGGCTTAATTTATATCTACAAGTTGAATAATAAAGATTTTTAAAGACTACAAGAAAATGTAGAAACATACCAAAGGGCCCATTAAAAAAATTGTATACAGGGCGTTACTAATCCTAGATGAAAACAAATCCCTATATTCTGGTATTTTAATGTACATGTACAGAAACCATGGCTCCAATAAAATATTGGTACTTTATAGTGACGTATTATTGTAAAATCCATACATAACATGCAATTTTAGTGAACTATATACAAATTCTTCAAATAAGTGCAGTAAAAATAGTGTCCAACTATAGTAAAAATTCTGTATAAATTAAATATGGCAATTACATCCTGATTGAAAAATTATCACATGTTAATTATGGCCAATACTTAATTGTACACCACACAAGTTCTACATACTAAAATTAGCTGTACAGATCCATGCATTACAAAATAGTAAATAAATAAATATCTAAAATAAAAATATCTACAATGCAAACAGATCAATTTTTGAGGTCAAAGTTTCATCAGGTAATTTCAAGTGAATGCTGTTCCACTTCATCGCACATGGCATTAAAGTTTGCGGCCCATTTATTAAATTCTTCTTCCTAAGATAACAAAGAATGCATCATTTATTCTAATCGTCTAACGCACTTGTATTACCTCAGCTTGTGTTTTCAGATCTTTCCGCTTCTTCTTAGGTTTATCTTCATCTTCAGTAATAGAGACAATACGTTTTTTACGTCTTTTAGCTGCATATGTCTTTTGTACAGGCTGCAACAGTAAACCATTACCTAAAATATACAAGGTAAATTGTAAATTACGTACCGTTTCATCTTTTAAATCTTCAAACAAATGCACGCTCTCATTATTTTCAGCGGGAATCGATACGTTGGTGACATCCTTGCTAACGTCCGGGATTAACTGCTCCACTATTTCTTTACGTACTTTTTTCACTTCACGAGGAGACACCCTCATCGGCAGTTTACGCGAACTTCGTCTGACCGGTGACATATTTTCCTTATCATTCTCGTCGAAATTAAACCCGAAACAGCTATCCAGCTCGAGCCTTCTCTTGGAATTGAGTACGTCATCAGTAATCGGAGAAAACGGTAGCCTCTGGCTCGGTTCATTTTTAAGGGGGCTAAACGAGTGATCGTCGAATAACGAGCTGACGTTACTTATCTCGATTATTTTCGGTGCTGATTCTACGTAGTTACTGATTTTTGTTTGTACAAGGGGTTTTTCCTTAGACATGGGTTTTGGCGTGGGGAATTTTTCTATCAGTTCCGGTTCGAGGATCATTTCTTGATTGTAATTAGGCAACGACGAGTCTTTCAACAACAACCAGTGTGGATTCCGTCTTAAATTTAAATGGTCCCCTCGCCAAGGTTGAGTGGTTTCGTCTTTTAATTCGTAGTTCCATTCGGGTGAGTAATTGCCGTCGACGCTCGACAATGGAGACGGTGTACGGTGACGTGCTGGAATTTCAATGATTGAAATAATATTGATGTTGCTTGTCGCATTTGATTGTGGAACTGGGGTCGAGGTTGGCAACGCAATGGCAGGCACATTTGCCTGGGGCCTGTTTGTAATGGGTATAGAGAGATTTGCTTCTGTATTTTCCAAATGTGGAGGTTTGGTTTTCAACTTAACTTTCTTCCTTTGCTTTTTGTTTTTTTCTTTTTTTTCACGATTTCTGATGCCCCGCAGTATTTCTTGCATTGACCTATCATATATGGTAGAATCCGAGTCTGAGCCATCTTCTTTCTTCTGTTTTTTTGGACCTGAATCTACAAACTCAAAAGGATCTTTGTTCTTTAGTCTTTTCTGTGGAGTCGCGTTTTGCAAATAAATCGGTATATGTGTTTGGATGTTCGTACTTTGTTCACTAGCGGAATTATCAAGGATTGAAAGTTCCTTGTAGTTATTCACTTTTTTATTGCGTAACTGCTTCTGTTCAACCTTTTTATGCTTCTTAGGAATGGCAAGTTTTTCAAATGGCACTTTGATATTTGCTTTCGTTTTAGTGTTACTCTTATCCCTAAAAGGTTGTCTCCTTACAGCAATCATAATAAAGGCTGCTTACATTCTTCGTGGTTTTGCATTTATGGCACTTTTTATGGCAAATTAACCAGTTTTTTAGCACATGAAGAAATGTGAAACGGTTATAATTTAACATGGAATGATATTAGCTGCACTCATATGTCGTATCTAAACCTAAACGTGACTCTTGGTACAACGCATGCGTTGTTCATTGATAATTATCAAAACTCGACCATTTATAATTAAACAATCTTCTTTACAAATAAATAACATGTCATTATATTTAATTTTTAATTATAATGGTAAACAAAACTACAGAAAAAAATAAAGGAGTGATGTATTAACAGTGATTATTATACAGGGTGAATAGGTATTCGAGATCCGAACATAAGCAATTAACATGGCAAAGGTTTTTTTGTAGATTGTTGCTCCCCAATTAACTTAGATTTAATGCCGAATTTTTAACAAAATTATGAGAAATACAACTGAAAATTAACTTAATTCGTATCGTATATCATTAGATGAGAAAAATGATCTGTTTTCGATTGGTGTCATTATAAACCCTAAGTTAATATGGGGAGCAGCAATCTAAAAAAAACACGTAGTACGGGAAGATTGAAGTACTCTCAATTATCTTCTACGTCTGTAAATATGAATAGCCTTGCTTTTTTGGCATTTGTAGGTGACTAATTAATTGACATTTGTTAATTTACTGTCTTAAATCGTGGCGCATCGGGCAATTTCGGATAGATTCGTTTTACCTCAATTACCCAGGCGATGTCTGACCATATTTATAGAAAACCTAACCCATAGGTTTGAGTTGCAATTAACAGTTCAGTGATCACGTGACCTTTTCCACCCAACTCTCTGAAACGGAAAATCGAACGCACCTTATAATTTTATGACTTTTGAGTTTGGCAACGTTGCACTGTCATGCGCCGCAAACCATTCAATTTCGCGCAACTCCGAAATTCTTTTTCATCTAACGAACATTTCGCGTTCAACTATAATGGCGTCTTGTCCAACGTGCGGTTCTGTAATTCGCGAAAATGGTGTTAATAGCAATTGTTCGCCGGTAAGTTCTTTCTTATACATAACTATACATTACGACAATTTTTGTTTGTTGTATACGCTTTCTCATAAGTTCTTTGTTTGATAAAAAAATCAATTGATCGCCGCCGCAAGTTCACCTAGTTGGTACCCCTGAACCATGCACTCCTTTTGTTTGGTTTAAAAAAACCACCCAAAAAATGCTTCTCCCTTTCAGTATAATTCTACGCAACAAATCGAATTTTTTGTATGTCTTCAGACAAACGGCCCAAAAATTATGGAAATGGACGTCACGCCAGCTGCACCGAAGACCGGAGCGAACGATGAAGATCTAACCGTAGATGAAATGACATCGCGTGATTACTACTTTGACTCCTATGCTCATTTCGGCATACACGAGGAGATGTTAAAAGACGAAGTTCGTACGGTAACATATCGCAATTCAATGTACCACAATAAGCATTTATTCGTGGGCAAAACTGTTATGGATATCGGTTGCGGAACGGGGATATTGAGCATGTTTGCGGCAAAAGCGGGAGCAAAAAAAGTGCTAGCCATTGAGTGTTCCAACATAGTCGATTATGCCAAACAAATAGTTGAGGCGAACAAACTGGATCATATTATAACTGTGATTAAGGGAAAAGTCGAAGAAGTTACTCTGCCCGATGGAATCGAGCAAGTGGATATAATAATATCAGAGTGGATGGGTTACTGCTTATTCTACGAGAGCATGCTGAGCACAGTGCTGTATGCACGTGACAAGTGGCTGAAACCTGAGGGCTTACTATTTCCCGATCGTTGCTCTTTATTTGTGACTGCTATTGAAGATCGTCAGTACAAAGATGAGAAGATTAATTGGTGGGATGACGTCTACGGTTTTGACATGAGTTTGATTCGCAAGGTTGCTATTAGTGAGCCTTTAGTTGATATTGTTGATCCGAAACATGTCGTTACCAACGCTTGCTTAATTAAAGAAGTTGATTTGTACACAGTGCAAAAAGCAGATCTCGAGTTTACTTCGCCGTTTAATCTACAAGTTAGACGTAATGATTATGTGCAGGCAATAGTGACATTCTTTAACGTAGAGTTCACCAAATGTCATAAACGAATTGGGTTTAGCACGGCCCCGGAGGCCCCCTACACTCACTGGAAACAAACTGTTTTTTATTTTCAAGACTATATGACTGTGAAGAAGAACGAAGAAATTTACGGCACGTTCTCTATGAAGCCTAATTTAAGAAATACTCGTGACTTAGATTTCATCGTTGAACTTAATTTTAAAGGCGAATTAGGACAAGTTGGCGAAGTCAATCATTATCGTATGCGTTGAAACCTTTCTTTTTTAATTTGAGAATCCTTGTGTCCATATAAGTAACGATGAAGGATTTTTGATTGGAGAAAAATTTTGATTTCTAAGATCTTTACTACTTTCATACTAGAATAGGTTCAGTTTTGAATACATTTATTTAACGATTACTGTATGTAACAATAATGAATAAAATAAAAACGTAATCATAACTACAAACATTTGTAAAAATTGTTGTAAAATTCCGTAAACAAAAAGATTGACTAGCATTTTTATACTTAATAGGAGGAGCATCAATTTCTGGTCAATTGCCGGAAGATAAAATGTGACAGTATTTTTTATTATTGGTCTTGAGCTGTATGTATTTTGTGTTAATAAACCAGTATGCAATTAGTCCATTTTTGAACAATAAAATGCGTTTAAAAAGTATATTATTGTATTTCTTAATTCTTTACTTGTTTGCTTCCATATGTGGGTAGGTTAAGTATTGTTTTCATTACAAGAAAAAGTACATTGTTGTGCTGCTTTTTAGCAGGATAAATCAAAATTTAGTATGTAAATTTTTACAGGCGACCCAAGCACTAACGCGCATGCATCTAACAACTTAGCGTCCTATAGGTACAACCACCATCATAGGCTAGAATTCCTACCAATAACACTGTCATTGGGTATATTTGAATTTGCCGCGTATACTGTTACTTGTACGTTTGAGACGCCTATTAATTTTTGGAATCGCGCAGATGTGCGGGTGGTATAATAAAGCCAAATCGATGGATTATATTAAACTTGTGGCAAACTAGGTGCGCACGAATATTCAGAGGTACAATACATTTTTTATTTCTGGACTGATCTAAGGTACTGAAATTTTAGCAGAACAAAAGGATCGATGGTATTAAACATATCGGAAGCTGCTTTTGCGCATGTGCAAAACTAAATTTCTTATTTCCGGACTAATTTTAACGGTATATATAATTATGCGCTATATAAAAGCAAGTTGAACATCCATGTCAAAAATTGCTACATCGATTAGTTACTTGCTCAATAAAAGGTGAAGCGATGCATGAGAGGTAAATTCAATAAAAAAAAAGTGCTGGATCTCAACAGATGCTTTGCCGTACAGAGATGATATAAAATCACGGTTTTATTGTGTTTAGCACATTTCCAAAAAGTAAAGGGAAAGTGTTATTGAGGTTGCTCCGATTTCAATTATTCAATATTCTTATTGTTTTAAAGGCTGTTGACGCTACATATACAGGGTGTTTTTTTGGGAGCTTTAGTTAAACGTTTCTGGGAAAGTAAAATAGGTAGGTTTTTGAAAATTTGAACTTAAGAGTTACTCTGAAGGCCGAATCGATGTAAAATATTTGCAAAATGGCCGCGCTTCCGGAAACACCGGAAGTGGATAGTAATTTCGTTATTTTAAATGGCAACCCTTATTTTTTATTGCATTTTTGGATTCTACGTGAAATTTCAATCCTTTTGATACCCATATGTCGATATCTGCCATTTATAGTTTTTAAGTTATTTTGACTTTAAGAAAAAAAATAGCGGATGCAGACGGTACCTTGATAATTGATTACTTGAAAACGGTTGTAGTCATGGCAACCCATTTTTATCAGTGCATAGAGAATGAATAGGGCTTTCTTTTAGTGTACTTAAACAAAAGTTAAGTTGCGTACAACCACACCTATGGAGATCCAAATTTAAGAAACTTTAAAGTCTAAAAACTCAGTTTTTTTAAATGGAATGACCATGTTCTTACTATTGCATGAGATAGAGAATAGAAATTGGCATATTTTGATATTACATGTTCCTATAGCTATCTTTAACAGTTTCTGATTTATTCCCATTTCATTGAATTGATCTAGGAATTGATTTTTTTCGCATTTTCTTTTTAGTAGTTGGGCATGATTTTATAACAATCGAATTTTAAACAAATCAAGGAATGGATTCGTTAATATCATTGATTCTAGTCTAAATAATTCATTAATAAATAAGTTTGTTGTTAAGGATATAGGACGGAAAATTTTTGAAAAATCTAGACAGAGTCGTTCAACTGAATTTCTTAAACAACGTATAAGTCTGGAAATTAAGAGAGGTAATGCGATATCTATTCTAGCAACAATTCCATACCAAAAATGTTTCAACGAAGTTTTTTATATTTTGCATTGAATTTATTTTGTTAATCTTGCATTTGCAATTCAATTCATTATCTCTTAAATATTCTCTTGTAGAGCTTTGTATCACTTGTGCTTCAACGGTTTGTAGTGCATTTGGGGGTACAACATTTCCAAAATTGATACAATTTCGTTCCAGTGTTCGAATGAATGTACGGCAAGCAAGTGCCGCGATTCTGTCCATTTCACCATAAATAACAATTAAATTGCAAAAAAGGTGAAACCACTCCGAGTCATTTTTCGATTTTTGAAAAACTTATGTTCACCTATAACAGTAGGTGACGGATTAGTGTCACTAGATTTGTTTAAATTTCGATTGTTATAAAATCATGGCCGACTACTAAAAAGAAAATCCGAAAAAAATAGGTCAATTCAATAAAATGGGAATAAGTCAGAAACTGTAATTAAAGATAGCTATAGGAACATGTAATATGAAAATATGCCAATTTTGATTCTTTATCTCATGCAATAGTAAGAACATGGTCATTCCATTTAAAAAAACTGAGTTTTTAGACTTTAAAGTTTCTTAAATTTGGATCTCCATAGGTGCGCGGTTGTACGCAACTTAACTTTTTTTTAAGTACACAAAAATAAAGCCCTATTCATTCTCTATGCACTGATAAAAATGGGTTGCCATGACTACAACCGTTTTCAAGTAATCAATTATCACGGTACCGTCTGCATCCGCCATTTTTTTTCTTAAAGTCAAAATAACTTAAAAACCCTAAATGGCAGATATCGACATATGGGTATCAAAAGGATTGAAATTTCACGTAGAATCCAAAAATGCAATAAAAAATAGGGGTTGCCATTTAAAATAACGAAGTTACTATCCACTTCCGGTGTTTCCGGAAGTGCGGCCATTTTGAAAATATTTTACATCGATTCGGCCTTCAGAGTAACTCCTAAGTTCAAATTTTCAAAAACCTACCTATTTTGCTTTCTCAGAAACGTTTAACTAAAGCTCCCAAAAAAACACCCTGTATAGAGAGAATAAAAGGTAAGGAACATTGATGCTGGAACCGTTATGGCATGGAGGTTTTTTTAGTCTATGGTTATGGTGATATCAAAAAAAAATTGTTAATAAAAGTTTATTGACTAAATATTTGCCACAATCGAACGGTTTTTTTCGCACCCCCATTCGCGGTAAGAAATTTAAAAAAAAGTTGTAAAATCGCAAAGGGCATACTTACTGAAAAACCTATTCAAAGACGTGCGACCAGTCTTTCCTAACTCTTATCATCGAATAAGCAGTATTATTTTATTAATCTTTATTTGGAGAAAGTGCTTGTTTTGAGCCCTTCTACCACCCAATTTTTTTTACATAATTATTTATATGTAGCACCGGGCACCCTGTATACAGGGTGGTGACTTGCGTAACGCGTCATAGAGATTTCAATGTAAAATTCATAACATGCGATTATTGGCTCCCCAAATTATTTTAGAGCAAAAATGTATTAAGGTTTTTTGTAAAAAAAAAATTTTTACACCAATCAACCGTATTAGTTTTCAATTTTTTTCATATAAAGACGGAAAATTGGAAAAATAAAACCCGCATCTTTTTCAATAATCTACGATATGCCATGGAATTTTCTAAAACAAAAAGATCTCCAGTTATCAATTAGCAGCAGTTCGAAATGGATTTTATGATCGACGGTATTACCATAGAATTATCAGAAGTTAATAAATAATTTAAAAAGGAATGAAACTTCCCTACAACAAATAGTGACTGGCTGACTGGAATTGTTTTTCATAGCACTCTAAATAACATTAATATTTTATTGCCAACCGTAGTAACTCCTAGTGTTATTATCTTAGATTACTACTCTTTTTTCTTATGATGCGAGCGACTTCTGGAGTAGGATGGTGCCAATATTGAACGAAGTCTTTTCGTTCAACATTGACACGATACTACACGGATGTCGCTTGCATCTTAAGAAAAATATAGATTGTAGATCGGGATCAAGTGTTCTGTGACTGGCAATCTTTCCTGACGAGAGGTTTATGAATTCTTTTTCTAAGGTTATTATAATGAAAAAATTAAATTGTGATAAACTTTTGGCCGCTACTGTACTTCTCATTTTGTCTTTGAACGTTCTTTTTTAGGCATCATAATTTTAGTGTAAATTAAGGGGTGCTTAAGAATTATACTGTTTTGACCAAATAAAAAACATTAAATGAGAATATCATTTTGTTTGCAAAAATGAAATTTGATGTCACGCAAAGAGAAATGTCTGTCTCAATGGTTATTAAGGCCAGTAACACACTAGGCAGCCTGGTTGCGGTAATCGCAATCACACACATGAATCCTCACCCACTAGGCAGGCTCGAATATGCAATTGTGTGAAAATTGCTGCCTAGTGCGATACTGGTCTACGTGTGGACCATTTTACATGCACCTCCCTTTAGTTTTGCTCTGCCACCAACTTTTCTATTCTTTCGTTTTGGAAGTGAAGAATATTTTTGCTAGCAGTTATTGTACTATCAAGAGGTGATTATTAAATCAGATGAGATTTACAAATCATAAAATAAAGGGCTTCAGTACACAAAACAGAAAGAAATTTAAATAAAACATTATTATTAAAAACATAGATACAACGTCGCTTAAATTTTTAATGAATAATTTAAATTTACCAAATTATAACATAATAAATATCTAACAAAGCAGATGCGTGTTTCTATTTAATTTACAAATTGAATACTTTCTACAACGTTAACACGAATTTGCTTTGTCTTATGGAATATTATTATCCAAATTGTACTCATTTTACTTACATACTAAAGTTCAAAAACTATCAGAAGGCTTCCCAAAATTTAGGTACATTCACTTCAAAAATGTAATATCTTTGGTATGACCAATAGAGGATAGTAACCAGGTTTTAGAGTTGCTATTGTAACAGAATTCTCAAAATTTCGGACTATTTTAATTGGGCTAGTTCGACAATAATTTCTAAAATGGAATTAAGGAGGTGCTATGACAGAAAAAATAAGGAACACTTTCCTATTTGTTCAGCGATTGCCTTCCTCAATTATGCAAATAAATTTGGCAGTGTCACTTGTATCATTGGAAAAAATATTGTCGAACTGGTTACATGGGATGCACAGTGGATCGCTCCCGTATAAGTTGCTTCAAAGATATTAGATTTTCAATGACACACAATGAAAACGGTAGGTGCAAATGAAATATGAGAAGCAAAAGAATAACAAATCAACAATAGTAAATTACGTGGAAAGTATCGATGTTGTAATTACAAAACAACAGTTAACCACCTCGAAAAATTACACAAAAATAATCAAACAGTTCTGTACAAAGGGCCGTTAACGATTAACATGTACAGCTTACACGGTTTGTAAATAACTGGGAGAATGTCCGTTCATTTGTGAATAATCGTTCACACCATCATCTGATTGAATAACTTCTTTCACAGTATCGTTCGCACTACTCGAACTCGTACTGCAACTTTCACTGGAATCCGATTCGGAATCGACGGACGAGTTCGAAATTAAAATTTGGTTGCGTAAATCGGAAATTTCGCGTTTTAAAGTTTCGTTCTCGAGCAGTAATCTATCGACTTCTTTCTGCAGATGTTTGTCCTCTTCACTTTCGCCGTTCTTATTTGATTGAAGCACGGTTTCGAACTTTTGTTCGAGCTGTAAAAACTCCTCGATTATATCGCCTTTTGTCATCGCGTTGAAACGTTCCGTGCGAAACTTCTCGTACGTGTCGTCGAAATCCTTTCTTAAAAACGCCTCTTCGCCATCGGGTGAGGAATAGAATTCGCCGTCGGAATCCATACTGAAACTAGAATCGCGAGTTCTAGCCATTTTATCATTTTTTAGGCAATCGTCGATTTCTTTAGTAGTACCTGTGGGGAAAGATGTGAATTAGATCAAGTTCGAAATGGCAGATCGGGCAAAATTACCTTGATCTTCAATGAGAAACTGATTGCTATTATGGGGGGCATCTGGCTTAGTTGCATTCCAGGATTTCCTATTCATGTTTGTATTCAAATAGGGATGCCGCCTTTTATTTCGTCCTCTTCGTGTTTTTCTTTTCTTTGGAGGGATCTCATCGTCTTTGTTCGTCGTCGCGTCGTTATTGGTGGCTGCGTGCGCAGCAATACGTTCATCTACGTCATCTTGATGAAGCGCACCAACCGCTGTTAAATTATGGTTTATACCCTCCAAATTTGAACACATTTTATAGAATTTTGCAAAATGGGTTTATTTTATACACACTTTCACTTCTACGATAAACTACACACCTTCACCTGGAAACCCTATGAAAATCACTTCCATACGAGGTGCACACAGCTTCGACAATATCGCCATTTTCGATGTTTTGTTTTCAACGTCTTCCACTGGGTGCGCTGTCGCTGTCTTTATCCCCCGCTATGCTGATACGCGATAGGGTAAAAAGGCGACTTTTGCATTGTTTGTAAATACACGCATTTTTTTATTTTCATGTTTGTGAAATGCTCGCAATCGGTGGCAATGCTAATATTGGTTCTTTTTATACGCGAACAGATTTGGGGTTAAAATTAAAACTCTTAAAAGGCTTGACCTAGTATTTGTTAAACATACAGGAAGTTTTTCGATACTTTCCCATTTTTTCTATGTTATCTTTGCGTAAGGTTTAATTTCGCGCATCGTAGATAATAGTGAAGCTCTCCTCAACTCACTTCAACACAATAGACAATTGTTGAACAGATAAAGATCGATGCAGTTACTCCTTGTCGCAATTTTCCCTTCCCGTATTTTTTTCTTATTTATTTATAGATATATTCAAACTTGTTTACATGCTTTTAACAAAATAATACGTAATATATCTTTGATATTCCTTAACATTATACAACAACAATTTACGCATTTATTTTTATTTGGCATTATTAATTCGTTTCATTTTACCCATAAGTACCGATCTACGAAAGATAATACCTACCAATAAAACCTAATTACTTATCAAACAAAGGATATTTTAAAATAATTCTCTTCCCTGCAGGTGGCGAAAGATGTCGCCATCTGTTACTCTGTTTATTTACATCATTATGCAAGATTAATGCCCCAAATTGCTAATATACTCCGATAAGGTGTAAATAAAAGCTTTCGGTTTCGAGTATGGACGCATAAAAGCTACGTTTCTAATACCAGTTCCAGTTTCAAAAGTATTTAGAAATAGTCTATAATTGTGAGAACCTGTCCTAGAGCACGTATACCAAAATGAATTTCCATTGCACCACCTCCAATGAGAGATCCAGTAGGCCTATCTATTTATATAAATTCAAAGGAAATTTCCTTTTAAATCCGGTACAACTCCGATCCGTGACCTACGCAATGATCATTTAAAATCGTCTGTAGCTTACTTTGATTATATGTAATGATAAGCGAATCTGCGATAAGGTCCTTCCTTGCAAATCAAAAACCATATAGAATTATAGACCTTTGAATGTAGTACAATCAAAGACATAAACATAATCGTACGCCAAAATTGTGTTGTCCATCAAACACATAGGTAGTATCGATAAATAATTAATTTATTATTCCATTCTCGAAGTTATTTTATTGATATCAATCAAAATTAGGTACCATTTAGAAATTTGAAAAGTTCTGACAAAAATAATAATAATAATAATAATATTTAATTGACTGTAAAATATGCTTACAAACAATATAAATAAACATAAGAAACAGTAAACGTCTACAAACTTCACACAAATGTACCGAATTACATAAAAAGCGTGACACTTCAATACAAGTCCGGACATTTTAGTCACAAAATGCAAACATTGTGCCCGTAATTACAGTGGTATGGCAGGCATGGTAGTAGATAAATAAAACTACTTTTGTTTTGAAAAAAATTTTTTTTATTTATTTATTTTAATTTATTTAACATTAGGCCAAAACCAACAGATCGCTGCATAAGTAGTTGTTTAATAACAGGTTGGCACAAAAATCAAAAGTGCGTTACGTTGACTGCAGACAAATAAAAATATAAAAATTATAAATAAATACAAAGAAGATAATTTTTTAGGACGCTGTGTGCACAGTGGATTTGCTTGTATTTATATATTTATAATATATTGTAGACCTACATAATATTATATTTTGCGCAATTGATTTAACAAAAATATTTGTGGATTTTCCACGACGGCCGAACTAACATTTTCATTTTCTGCATTATTTAAAACTGTTCACGTGGACCTGCGCATGCGCGATTCTGCCCTTTTAGGTCTAAGAATATATGTACCAAATTTGGTTCCAATTGGTTCAGCGGTTTAGCCGGAAATACGAGTTTGCCAGACTTGCGTATGCGATGTTCTCCCCCAAAGCTTATCAGCTCTTCCTTTTGTGTAAAAATATGTGTGCCAAATTTGGTTTAAATCGGTTCAGCTGTTTAGCTGAATAATGAGAGTACAGACAGACAGACCGATCGACATCATCGAGATTTTGTTTGCTTCATTTCTGGTGCTTTAAAACATCTATTTCCGTCAAAAAAGTGGGGGGACATTTTTTTACCTCAAGACAATACCTCCCTTACTAAGGTGCGGGTGGTAAAACGGGTATACCTATAATAGGTATAGGCATTGTTGTATAGGTATCAAGTATGTGAACTGAAACGTGCATTTTGAGGCTGGGCATTTCGCTTATGTTAATTAAATATATGCCTTATCTCTGTTTTTATTTTATTTTTCCTAATTTCTCATTTGTATATGTGCCATTACATATTCGAAAAATTCAAAAATTCAATTTGTGGTAACACTGCACAGCACAGAGGTAGGCCAAGCAACCACTATTCTTTATATATGAAATGATTGATATGAAATTCAGGATTGCAGTTACTAACATATCTTTATTTAAGCAGAGACGTATACGTAACTATTGATTATAATGTTAGTATGTATAATCGATGACCATTGATTATAACTGTACAATCAATGACGTAACGTTAAGTTTAAATCTTCAATGCTTTTTAGAGGCATGGCAACACCGTGCGTGTCAGTGACATCTGTGCCACCGATTAAACAACCATTACAGGTTTGAGGTTATGTTTATTTATTGTATCGGCGCAGCGCGCGTTTGCTATCCAAGCTCAAAGACAATTTTATAAATGTAAGTTGATAATCCATATATGAACAAACTCATAAACAGATTTTCTACAAAAATGTTGCGAAAAAAGTTAAAATTAGATGAACCAAGTGCAAGAGGTAACGAATCAATTGCATCTACTGATTTGGACAGTATTTCAAAAACTTTCCTAGAATTAGAAATAAATCTTAACGAGTCACTAAAACTACTCCAATTTAAATCCCCCGTAGAATTCGTTTACCACCCTTTAGATTACGCTTTAAAACCGCACACGGTATACGTAAATCGTTACTGCACAACTCATAAGAAAGTAATGTTTGTTGGCATGAACCCTGGCCCGTGGGGTATGTGTCAAACCGGTATTCCCTTTGGTGAAATAAGTGCCGTTAAAGATTGGTTTAAAATAAACGAAGAGGTTTCGAAACCAGAGCGAGAATGTCCCGAAAGAGAGATTACAGGCTTTGCGTGTAAACGGTCTGAGATCAGTGGACAGCGCATATGGGGGTTGTTTAAGAATCTTTGTGGTGTACCTGAGAACTTCTTTAAGTATGCTTTTATGTATAACTACTGTCCGATAGCAATGATGAAAAGAGGCGGTGCAAATGTTACTCCTTCTGAAATCAAGGTAGGCTGTTACAATGATCAATTGTTATAACGTAGTGTGTTGTTACAGGGTGATGCCCAACGGAAGTTGGAAGAATTATGCGACAAGGCTTTGTTTGAGGTTATACAGCTGCTGAAAGTGGAAATTGTTGTGGGTGTAGGAAAGTACGCAGAAACAAGAGCCCTTCAAGTTTTGAAGAAATCCAATCCATTAAATACAAGAGTGCTGTACCTTTTACATCCGAGTCCTCGTGTTCCCAATAATAAAAATTGGGTTGAAACCGCAGAGAAGCGGTTAAACGATCTTAAACTTATCTCTTACTTTGAATAATCGTACAATGGTTGAGTTAACGGATACTCAAAAGGATTTTATGAACACCGCATTTAAATTGGCTTACGAAGCTTTAGAATTGCAAGAGGTGCCTGTTGGTTGCATCTTTGTGCATAGTTCTGAAATTGTTGCAACTGGTTGTAATACTGTGAATGAGACTCGTAATGCAACCCGCCATGCTGAATTGAACTGTATTGATATAGTGAATGACATTTGTAAATCGCGAGGTCAAGATGTTAGAGATTTTTTTGCAGGTATTGAGGTATATGTAACCGTCGAGCCTTGTATCATGTGTGCGGCTGCCTTGTATGATTTAAATGTGAAATCGATCATTTACGGGTGTAAAAATGACAGATTTGGAGGTTCAACTGTATTTGATGTAGCTTCCGTTTTGCATCCTATTACACAATCCGTCGGGGGGTTTAGGGCAGAGGAAGCAATGAGTTTATTAAAAACATTTTACAAAGGGACCAACCCTTCTGCCCCGCCTCATAAAGTTAAACTTAAGAATAAGGATAAATAGAATTATTTTTTTTATAGTTTATACATTTTGTCATTTGACAAATACAATACGTTTTTAACAGTAACAACTTATTGATTTTTGGTAGCTATTTTTGAGATTGATTAGTCTATTCATTTTAAGAGGGCAATGGTAGAAAACATAGGGAAGCTTTGACCTTCACTCTGATTGGTTATATATAAAACAAGTGACGAATTTTGTAAGCTGGTATAATAGTTTCTGTTGCCAACTAAGCTGTCGAACTGCCATTAGCTGTTAATGTCAAAAATCTAAGCATAGAATCGTTTGATTTATTTCTGTTGGTAGTGCTCGATATTTCTACTTTGCAATAATTGGGTGCTGTTTAATATTTTTCCTATCTTCAAACACATCGTCATCTACTACCTTTTTATAATGAATGTAGTATCGAAGGAGGACCTCAGAGCAATTAATTCATAAGTTCATATTAATTAGTTACCCTTTTTTGCAATTGCTCTGGATATTTGAGGATGAAGAAGAGCTTGCTTTAATCATACGATATTCGGAATATCTATCATATTATCTTCTTCTTCATCTTTCATTTATTCAAAAAGTTCTCATCTAATTTGATGTTGTGTCCTCAGCAAGGTTGACATTTGACCAAAATACCAGCAGTGTGTTATGGTTACTTAATTTAGCCCCTATTTTGGTTGAGACAGTGTATCTCAGCTGTTTTTAAAGATAGAGACTTGCGGTCGCGACCCCTAATCAATGTTGGGCCACAGATTCTGAGATCTGACGCAATGTTGGTATTTTTTAAATGCAACACACTGTATGTCTTACCGTCAATTGTTATTCATTCTGTTTCCTGGTTACATTGATATGTCACAACTTCTATATATTTTTTTAAATTTTAGCCATGAAAACCTTAGTTTTTTTGTAAACAGTAGGCCTTAGATTCATTGTTCATTGTTTTGTTTATTGTATCATGGGAATTAAGGCAACCGATACCAATCAATAAAAATGGCTGACGGTAGAAACATAACATTTCAACATTTTGAAAAATATAATAAAATATATTAAAAAAATATGCAAAAAAATTGACGTTAAAATATACAAGGTGTTGCATTTAAAAAATACCAACTGGGTCAAATCTCAGAAACGAGTGTCCAAAATTTTTTTTATTACGCCACTGGATTCTAAGTAACTAAATATATCTAGAATAGTCAGTTTTTACCTTTTTCTATCTTACATGGGTACATGACATCTCAAAAAGTGAAATTTTTGGTTTGCACCCTGTATCTCAGAAACAAATGTAGCTAGATTGATTCTGTTTGTGGTATTAAAACTTCCACAAAAAAGTGGCACAGAGTCGCGAAAACCGCAAGTCTCCATCTTTAAAAACAGCTGCAATATCAACCAAAGTAGAGCACACTGTACTTAGCTAGCGTTGGGCAAAAAAATCGATTAATCGATTATAATCAAACGATAATCGATAATCGGGTTTGATTATTCTATTAAATTAATCGATTAATCGATTATTTGATTAATCGGTTATTTGATTAATCGATTGTTTGATTAATCGGTTATTTGATTAATCGATTGTTTGATTAATCAATTATTAAGTAAATTTTAATTGATTATTATTAGCTGGATCATCAGTTTACGCTAAAAGGAGCACTCACAGCTCACAAGTATTATTTTATTTTATAGCGGATGTTAAAACGTCACTTTAAGCAGCTAAAATGAATTAAGATTGTATCATCGAAACTAAAGCACACCTCATCGGAGAGTAAGCTGCCTAATCATTTATTTTTATTTATTTATTTTTATTTTTGACCTTCATTTTCAAATGGGCAGGGTTTCAGCCAAGGCTGTTCTACCAACCAACCCACTATGCATTTGCAAATATCCATGCCCCGAACCCAGATGCGAACCAGGGACACTTTGTTGATTATTGATTAATCGATCTGCCTAGTAATGAACGATTTAATGAAAAGAGTAATGGAATTATTTTTTATTTTTATTATTAAATCATTAACGTATGCATACAAACAGATATTTATCACTCCTTGTATGTGACAATCGACTTTTGATTAAACCATTAGGTGATTAATCGATGATTTGATTAATCGATTATTTGATTAAACGATTATTTGATTAATCGATTAATCAGTGTAATCGATTATTTTTCATAATCGATTATTCAAACCCGTAATCGCCCAGCCCTAGTACATACATTGCGCCTGACTGACCAGCTCCGTCCTCACATTTTATCATAACTTTCATTTTTATTAAACAATATACCTACTATTTGTATAACAATTTTCAGTCTTAGTAAATTCATTCATTACCTCAGTACGTATGACAGCTTCGATGACATACTTAGAGACCCATGTTCCCAGTTCCATTTGGCTGAGCACAGTATGTTTGTGTAAACAATCACTGTAATGGACTATAGAAAAACTAGCCTTAGTAAATTCAGACTTTTTTTGGAACATGTTTTGTGGGCTCTCCTTCTATATTTTGAGATGAAACTACACTGTTGTAAATAGTGGAACAAATACAAAGCAAAAAATTACTATTGCTTTGTGCTGTTGAAACCTCTTGGGTGCCCTTACTTATCACAAGGCATAAACAGCCAGCATAATGGGGACCTTAGATCCATCTCGGCCAATTGACAAAAGATATTTACTTACTATAATTTAAAACAGTATATATACAAAGTTTTATTTGTTATCTCTATTTAACTTAATAATACAATGAGTGGCATTAATGCCCCATAGAATTTAATAAATTTAAAATATAACTTCCTAGCTCTTCATCTTGATTGGTCCAAGAGACAAATACACTTTTTTGATCATCGTCTTCACCTTCTACTTTGACAAGTACAGTTTCAACCGATATTGAGCCATCTGTAAACGTGAATGACCACTCCGGGAGCTTTTCAATCATAAGTGAATGTAGCTTATGGGCAGTTGATAATGACGATCCTGGATCGTGGAGGTGAACAGTTGAGGTAAACCTAATGACGTGTCGATTGATTCCTGCTTCTTTACAAGCCTCATCCACATCCATCAAACATACGGAACTGTCTTTCATTACAAGAACACCATGCAGTGTTCGCCGTCGTTTCGGATCAGGGGGTAAAGCGTTAAACTTTTTCGCCTCGGCTTTTAATAGTGACAGAGAGACATCTACTGGAATTTTAACGGCGGTATTTATGACACACGTTTCCCCATTAGCGGGATTGTAACATTCTATATTGAACTCTTGTTTTATTTTGTTTTTCAGAAACTCCATCTTTGCCGCTTCCCCGTGTACAAGCAGCACATTTTGTGGTTCACAATATTGTATTAATTGCATAATGCCTTTAGCATCGGCGTGTGCAGAAAACGACATGTATTCTACGGACATTTTTACTTCGACTACTTGCCTATTTTCAAACTCGATCTTTTTAGCACCGTTTAAAATTTTATGACCGACAGTACCTTGCACACAAAAACCAGGCATAATTGCCATGTTATTTTCGTTAGGTGCCCATTTTTTAAAAATGGTTAAACTCAGACCGGCATGCAACATACCAGGAGTGGCAAATACCACCATGGGACCAGGGTTGTCGATGTACTGACGGTCAAAAGGCTTTATGTGTTTGAAATCAAACATGTTGCGCTGCACGAATGTTTTTCGTATTTTTTGGTTTGTCCATGTAATGAACATTTTGTAGTAATTATTAGCCTTCTCAGTCAAACCTAACGCAAAGTACACGGGTACTCTTAAGTTCATCCTTTCCCAATAAGTCTCTAATAATATGCACAACTCTTGTGCTCGGCCTAAAGCAAAGACCGGTATTAGAACTTTACCGCCACGATCAATGCACTCGTGCACTTTTTTTAAAAAGTCCCGTTCGCGACACCTTTTAGAATCCCGAATTGTAGTTGCATATGTTGATTCGGTTATCAGTAAATCGGGCCTACACTTATCAATCCAAGCAGCTCCCAAGTGACGATCTGGTGTCATATTGTAATCGCCCGTGTAGACCACGGATTGAGAACCAACACGAATCCAAAACATTGCTGCTCCCAAAACGTGACCGGCGTAATACGCTTTTATCTCTAACTCATTATCAACCATTACAGACTGATGTAATGTAACTGCCACAACTTTTTTCATGCAATCTTTTATCATTTGAGACGTAAAAAAATTGCTGTCACCCTTTTTCTCTACAGACACTTTTCGCATGTCTTCCAACAGTATCGGTGCTATCGCTTTGGTAGGGTGGGTCATATAAATCGGTCCTGTGTAGCCGACCATTTCAGACATGTACGGTAACGCACCGCAGTGATCGAGGTGAAAGTGAGAAATTATGACGCAATCGATATAAGATGTAATGGGGCCTTCGCTGCTTATGAAGGAGAAGTCCGGGAATCGCCTTTCATCATTATAACCCATGTGCATGCCGCAGTCTAACATTATATTTTTACCGCCCATGGATAACAGTATACAACTACGACCCACATCTTGTCCTGCACCCAAAGGTGTTATTTTTATTTCTGGCATGAAGTTTAGTTGAAATTTTACAACACAAAAATAATACTGTTTTGCAGGTTATGTTTACAAAAGTACAACCTTGCCGTCAACTACAGCTTCTTACGTTGTTGCCAGTTGCAATTAAAATTTTTTGTATATACATGGTGTTCCAGACCACTCGTTTTTTAACTGGGGCTTGAAAATTTTTAATAAATACAAGACTTGGGTTATGGGAATGACGTCGTCATATAATGGTGTAATGTTTAGCCTCTTGTAAATTCATATTGTGGCATTTCCACTGAGGTAAAGTTGCGATTGCAACCTAATTATTGTTAATGAACATTGCCAATTGTTCTGGTAACAGGGGAATATTTTATTTGTATGTTGTACAATCAAATTTTTTTAAATTCGTAAAAGCCGTTACACTTTCGTTACCGGTAGCCTGTGAAGTTGTTGTGGATTGTCTCTTTTGAAATTTTGCCTTTTTAACTTAAGTGTTTGTGTGTGTTTTTATTATTTGACGGTATTGGTACCACAGTTTTTTATGCTTCTAACATTTTCTTGTAGATGCCAACAGAAAAAGATAACGATTCTGTTCAAGTAGCAGTTCGAATCCGTCCCTTAATCGATAGCGAAATTGGTCGGGGATGTAGAGACATTTTAGAAGTATTTCCCGCAATACATCAAATAAGGATTAAAGATTCTGACCGTGCATTTACATTTAATCATGTTTGTGACAGTATGACTTCCCAGATGTTATTCTATGGCATGTGTGTCAAGCCTTTAATTGATAACTTGTTTAAAGGATACAATGTGACCATCTTAGCATATGGACAGACGGGATCTGGGAAAACTTACTCAATGGGAACAGCGTATGATGGCGATACAGACGGCGGAATAATTCCTCGCGCTGTCAATGACATTTTTAACTATGCTAATGACAACTTCGCATACGACTTTCATATTACGGTTTCCTTTATGGAATTATATCAAGAAGTTTTATACGATTTGCTCACTGCGAAATCAAGAGAGCAATCTGTTGTGGAAATTAGGGAAGACCCAAAAGGAGCCATAATTATTCCTGGTCTCACGGCCGAACCTGTTAAGTCAGCTTCTCAGGCTTTGGACTTGCTACTAAAAGGTTCAAAGGGTAGGGTAACGGGTTCGACAAACATGAACACACAAAGCTCTCGCAGCCACGCCATTTTCACCATAAATATCTTGATGCAGCAAAAAAGTGATAGGTAAGATTAGGTTTAAAATTGAATAGGCGAGCACTTATTTTTTTTTAGTAATATGAATAAGACTGCCAAATTTTATTTGGTCGATCTCGCTGGGTCCGAGCGATCGAAAAAGACTGGCGCAACAGGTGTGGCGTTTCGAGAGGGCGTCAATATTAATAAAGGATTGCTGGCATTAGGCAATGTCATTTCCGTGTTGGGAGGTGATAAACAACAATCCTATGTTAGCTTTCGGGACAGTAACCTAACTAGGCTTCTAAAAGGTACCTTTTGTCCTTCCTATATTGAATATCGTTAGGAGAACCAGATGAATTTGTTGTCGATTCCATCTAACCGTATCAATCTCATCTGTAGATTCCTTGGGTGGTAACAGTATTACACTAATGATTGCCTGTGTGAGTCCGGCGGATTACAATTTGGATGAGACTATTTCAACCTTGCGTTATGCAGATCGAGCGAGACAAATAAAGAACAAACCAGTAGTGAATGAAGATCCAAAAGCGGCCGAGATCAATCGACTTAATAAACTGGTTGCGCAGCTGAGATTGGAATTAATTGGTCAAGGTAGGCATAATTTTGAACATACTGTGGCTAAGACAGTGTTGTACTCTACAGGTGGTCCCATCATTTGTCAGGCAGAGCTTGAACAACTGAAAAAAGATAACGAGCTCTATAAAACTAAGATAAGGGCTTTAACTGAGCAATTATCAACAATTCTGGGTGATAAGACGACTCTCTTCGAAAGAGTGATGCTATTACAGGCGGCAAATGAAAGAATAACCCAAAAATTGCGCCAATTGCAGGACGAATATAACACCACTATTAACAATCTCTGCGTGGATGACATAAGCTCCGAAGTTCTTAAAGAACAAGTGACAAAGTTGCACTCGATTCAAAACTTATTTTCGGAGTTGTACTCGGAAACTCAAAAAAGTGACGAAGAAATTCGCAAGCACGAGCGTTGCTTCACCAACGCGAGTTCTGAGCAAGCGAACTTGGTTGTCTCCGAAAGTGAATTTTGCAAGAGACAAGAGAGCCACACAAAACAACAGTTGGCCTTGAATGTTGAACTCCAACAACTCACAAAAGAGTTGGCCATGAAGGAATATTTGGCTGAGCAAATGTTGATCAATAACAACCACATTATTGATTATGACGCGGTTACCGAAAATGAGAATAAAGTTGCAGCACTACAAAAAGAACGAGATGACCTGTTACAACAACTGAAAAATGTTCAAGCGAACGAGGGGGGCAAGAAGATCGCAGAACTTAGAAGAAAGCGTGTTCAAGAACTTGAAAGAGAGATTCAAGATCTGCACAAAAAGGTAATTATACTGGTTTAATACAGAGGGATATTTTTAAGAGAATATGTACACAAATTTCCTTATGTATCCTTTTAAATAGTACACTCATCGATCTTTTCCATTGACTGCTACTCCAGCTCTTCCTTCTTTGTTTACACTACTCCAGCAATGTATCATTTCGTCATTCTCCTTTATATCCTCTCTGAACGCATCCTTCTGGTTCGTGTTTTTTGATGTCCGTCCATCCGTGTGTCCGTCACACATACTCCTTCTAAACCACTGAACAGATTTTGGCGATATAGGACTCATTTGAAAGGGCTTGGTCCAAGGATTCCTTGCATACCCATATTTTTTGCGCATGCGCAGTGTCAAAAATTTGGTTTGACGCATGTGCGATGCTAATCTTTTTATTTATGAAGATATTTAAATGAAACTTTATACACGGTGTCCATTTTTCGAGTGCCACTATGGGGATCTCCCTTATCTTAAGAGATAGAAAGTTGGTTAAATTGGGGCAAAGTTACAAATTTCCGTGCTGAATAAAAATCTGAAAAGAAATTTGAAATATCTTCAATAGTTTAAAAGATATCGCAAAAAAATGAAAATGTCTGATTTTAATTTTTTTTGGATAAACTAATCGTTGTAGACATTTCTAATTGACACATTATTCGGACACTGTAATGGAGATTTCAAATATGGCGTCTTGTTTTTAATTACTTTCAAGATGACGGAGAAACACGTGGCAACTTTAGTTTTTCTTCTGGACGCCATATTGAATTTTGACATTTTGGGATTACGTCTTTTTTTCTCTTTACAACGATATCTCACACATGGTGGTTCAGTATCACATTTTTTCTAAAAATACAATTTTTAATTTTTTGAGAAGAGTGCTTTGGAAAAACAAAACGTTCTTTTGTTGTAAACAAAAGTTTGACAGTTTGATCCATCTGTCTGGTTGGAGTATTGTAAGAGAATTAGCATTCTTCTCAAAAAATTAAAAATTGTATTTTTAGGAAAAATATGATACTGAACCACCATGTGTGTGATATATCGTTGTAAAGAGAAAAAAAGACGTAATCTCCAAATGTGAAAATTCAAAATGGCGCCCATAATAAAAACTAACGTTGCCACGTGTTTCTCCGTTATATTGAAAGTTATTAAAAATAGGATGCCATATTTGAAATCTCAATTAAAAAGTGTCCTAATGTGTTAATTAGAAATGTCTACTACGATTAGTTTATCATAAAAAAATTAAAAACGAAAATCAGAAATTGTCGTTTTTTGCGATATCTTCAAAACTATTGAAGATATTTCAAATTTCTTTTCAGATTCTTATTCAGCACGAAAATTGGCAACTTTGCCCCCATTTAACCAACTTTCTATCTTTTAAGATAAGTGAGATTCCCATAGTGGCACTCGAAAGATGGACACCGTGTATGTAAACACTACGAATATAAGTAAAATTAACGACATTTTCAAAATGTTTTTGCTCATGTGCAATGCCAACTTTCTTATTTATGAAGGCATTTAAATGAAACTTTATACATAGGCATTTGGCATAAAGACAAATCTTTGCGCATGCGCAATGCCAACTTCCTTATTTACTGAAGTATTTAAATGAAATTTAACATCGGTCTTAAAATTTGGTTTTGCACATGCGCAATGGCAACTTTATTATTTACGAAAGCATTTATAAGCGTTTCATGAAGAGAATGGGACAGCATTAACAATTAGGAGGAAAATACGTCTTCGTCATTTATGTTTGCATATGGACTTTTAACTTGTTTTCATTTAAGTTTCATCTTGCATACAGTTATTCCCTATTCTTTTGCATGGGCCATAGTGCTAAAGCTGTCATCGGCGGAGTTACTGTTTTATTAGCCAACAGTAGGTAATTCCCATTCCTTTTCCAGATCACCGAACAAGCACGATTAATAAAGCTGAAGCAAAAAGACGAACAGAAGATAATTGTATTAAACAACGAAATACAGCAAATGAAATCGAATAAGGTAAAGCTAATCAAAAATATGAAACAAGAATCTGAGAAATTTAGGTCGTGGAAAGTGGAACGCGAGCGCGAACTGCTCAAACTGAAAGAGCAAGATCGTAAACGCTTAAATCAAATTGTCAAAATGGAAACCATTCACAGTAGACAGCAGAACGTGTTAAAAAGAAAGGTCGAAGAAGCGGCCGCCATTAACAAACGTTTGAAGGACGCCCTGGCGTTGCGGAAGAATGTACAGGATCAGAAGAGTTCGGGCAAAATTGAAAAGATCGAGTTGTGGCTGCAGCAAGAATTGGATGTCGTCGTCAATACCGCTTTTGCCGAAGAGACGCTGACGCATTTGTTGGAAGATCGTGCGACGTTACAAAAGCAGTTGGACAGTTTGAAAGAATTGTGCTCTATGGGAGATAGTGATGAAATTCGGCAACTGCAAGACGACATTGATTTTCGCTGTACACAGATTCAGGATCTTCAACAGAAAGTATTGGATTCAGATCAAGGTATGTGTTCCAAGAGAGTAGCTTTACACAAAAAGTCATAGGTTTGTTACTGTTACTAAATAACAAAGTGGGCTTTTAAGATCATAAAATCCTTACATGCGTAGTATCTATACACGGTGTCCATTTTTCGAGTGCCACTATGGGGATCTCGCTTACCTGAAGAGATAGAGAGTGGGTTAAATGGGAGCAAAGTTGCGAATTTTCGTGCTATCTGAAAAGAAATTAAAAATATCTTTAGTAGTTTTGAAAATATCGCAAAAAAACATTATTCAGACACTTTTAATTTTTCGGGAAGAGTGCTTTGGAAAAACAAAACGTTCTTTTATCGTGAACAAAAGCTTGACAGTTTGATCCATATGTCTGGTCGGAGTGTTGGCAGGGAACTAGAGATTTTCATCTGAATAGAATTGAACCTTCGTTTTGCAAGAAAATTATAATTCAAATTAGAACAAAATACTTAAGGATAAATAATATTTTCGCAATAAATCTAGCACAAACGTAAATTACACTACTGGAAATAAGTCAACCTTTTGTTCACAACAAAAGAACGTTTTGTTTTTCCAAAGCACTCTTCGCAGAAAACGAAAATTGTAATTTTAGGAAAAATGTGTTACTGAACCACCATGTGTGATATATTGTTGTAAAGAGAAAAAAAGACGTAATCTCAAAATGTCAAAATCCAAAACGGCGCCCATAAGAAAAATTAAAGTTGCCACGTGTTTCTCCGTCATCTTAAAAGCTATTGAAAACGGGATGCCATATTCGAAATCTCCATTAAAAAGTGAGTAGATAAGCAATGTATGTTCTGAAACAGGAAGTGACGTCACGCCAATGAGAGCTCTGTATTTTGGTCACGTGGTAGGTGTTTGACGAATGGGATCGCTTGAGTCGGCCATTTTGTTTCGTCACGAAAAGGCTGATAAGAGCATGCATTTTCTGAAACAGGAAACGCGTCATAGTTTGTGAAATATTTGTCTGAAAAAAAGGCTGCGTCGAGGATTTGAACCGTCGATACGCAAATTACGAATCTCCCGCCTTAACCATCTAAGTTAGGCGAGGCTTTGAGATATGGGGGCCGATTCTAACTGATTTCAACGGTCGAAATAGAATTTCGACGGCGCCATGACACCAAACTTCTACTCTTAGGGTGTAATAGGAAGTTTATGTTTCTTTAAGTTTGCTCTTATATTTTGCTAAGTTGGCTGTCTGATTTTGAACTATTTTAAACTTTATAAACAAAACCTTATCTTCGACCCTAACCCTACAGTAGCTACAATCGTACCTATTATTATTTCTCCATGAAGGAAATTAAAATGGTTTTTTGTTGGGATGTGATTTTAGTCTCCGCCATTGTAAGATACGTAGGTAAAAGTAAAGCTAAACAAAGCAACTGATAAAAAATGTAAAGTGTACCAAAACACAAAATTGAGGTTAAAACCACGTGCGACTTTCCGAATAACAAAGCGCGCACTGTCGCTATCCCTTCTATTTCGACGTTGAAATCGTAATTTCAACCACTCTAGTCTAGTTGAATTTATTTTCAACGGTAGAAAAGTTATGACGTTTCAATGACGTATATTAGTAGTTCATGATAATACCGATAGATGGTTACGATCGCAATTTCGACGCAACTACTGAAATTTCAACCGTCAAAATCAGTTAGAATCGGCCCCATGAACGTTTAGCAGTTCAAGTATTGTTAGAATGGCGGGGGCGAGTTGTAGAAGGGTATAACGCGAGGGTGCGTCGCCGATAGGGGCTAGGGGCTATTTGGTGACGTCAAAATGATACGCATCTAACGTATAGGAAACTGTAATTTTCAAATTGGGCGGCATATGGCGTTAAAATAAATACATCTCTGAGCTACGGAGACATATTCGTTTTATTGGGTATATTTATAATGCACAATGAGCAAGCGGACGTGAATCGATGTCTTCATTTGGGGGGTAGCGCGGGTTTCTCTTCAATGACTGCTTGCGTTAGAAATTTACGAATAAAGTCGGCCGTTTATAATGTACATTTAGATAGCAAACATGTGAACTATCCATCCGCTTGATTATTTTATAAAATCATCGTTCCATCCGTTTGAATAATAGGTACAGTCGAACTTCAATAAGTCGAACTTCCATAACTCGAATTTTTGATAACTCGAATCAACTTGGTTGGCAATAGCTGCAACAGTAAGGCGTATGTTCAATTTTTTCCTTGATAACTCGAACTCCTATTACTCGAATTTCTTGATAACTCGAACAAATTAAGTGCGCACGACTTTGATAAGTCGAATTCTGTGAAGTCCCTTAACTGTAACCGTTCGTTTTATAGCTTAACCTTGAAGACAGTGCGTTTTCAGCATTACTCATCAAAGTTCGTTGGTTGTTGCGCGGATTTCTATACAGGTGTGCGTGTTTTATTAGTTGTTTCAACGCGAATATTCGTTAATTTGATTTTCTTGTTGACGATGTCATTAAAACGCACTTTAAAAACTTTATCTATTGACGATAAATATAGACTTTTAAAAGAAGTGGAAGGTGGGGCACGAAAAAAAGATATGGCTGTGAAATTATATACATTATACATACATAGATTGCAGTATGTCCACTATTGAACTTTGTAATGCATTTCCTTTCATAATAAATATGTTTACGTAAATAATACACGGTATATGCATACTATGTGTTTTATTCAATAAGTCAAAGTTTTGATAACTCGAAATTTTTTTCTGTCAAGTCATGATTTATCGAAGTTCGACTGTAGTTCTTTTTTACACTGATCTTTTTCTACAATTGTCGATAAAATGTTTACTTAGTCAAATGTAGGACATGTCCAAAGATTCTTTTTATAACACAGACCATGTTCTGACAGATTACCATCCGCACATGAACAGTACTATTGATCTGGTAGCATTTAGACTTGCAGGCCTATGTTCTTTTAGTTTTAAAATACTTTAGTACTGCAAGCACCTACCAATAATTTAAAATGCAAATACGAAAGGTTACTTTCAATATTTTATTGAAAAAATTGTTTAACAAATCAAATACTAGCCTACAATAACAATAAAAAAATAATTATACTGAAAGCTATTGAGGATCGTATGCTAATATTTGAGAAAAAAATAAATTAACTACTTGTAATGACGACATTCGTTTCAATATAAAATTCTTCTTCAGTTGTTGAGAGACAGGGTTTTTACCACTTAAAACGAAAAACATTTGACTAAACTGTTCACACATGTCCATTCACACATCTCACTTGGGCTAGTATTAAATAAGTTTATAAATCAGTCTTGGAACTTTATAATTCATCCTTAAGATCATCATCCTCGCCACTTGGTGGTGGTGGACCGCCTGCACCTTGATATAACTTGGAGATAATCGGTTGGACTACATCTTCCAGCTCTTTCTTTTGTTTCTTATAATCTTCGGCCTCTGCTTCGGGATTTTCTTCGAGCCATTTAATTTTTTCTTCGATTGCTTCTTCCATTTTACTCTTTTCATCGTCGGATATCTTTGATCCCAATTTTTCCTTATCGCTAAGTTGATTTTTAAGCGAATACGCGAAACTTTCAAGTTCGTTGCGAGATTCGACACGGTCCTTAAGTTTCTTATCCTCATCAGCGAATCTTTCGGCATCCTTTATCATTCTATCGATATCTTCGGGTGTGAGACGATTTTGATCGTTTGTAATTACAATCTTTTCTTTGTTTCCGGTTCCCTTATCTTCGGCGGATACTTGTAGAATACCGTTGGCGTCGATTTCGAATGTTACCTCAATTTGTGGTACACCTCTAGGTGCCGGTGGTATGCCAGTTAAGTCGAATTTGCCCAACAAATGATTGTCTTTAGTCAACGGACGTTCTCCTTCGTAAACTTGGATGGTTACGGTGTGTTGGTTGTCGGATGCGGTGGAGAATATCTGAGATTTCTTTGTGGGAATGACAGTGTTACGTGGAATGAGTTTGGTCATGACACCTCCTACGGTTTCAATGCCGGTTGTTAAGGGGTTTACATCGAGTAGGACGATTGAGTCGGTGGCTTGTTCCCCAGATAACACTCCGGCTTGTACAGCGGCACCGTAAGCGACAGCTTCATCAGGATTGATACCGCGAGATGGTTCTTTGCCTCCGAAGAATTCCTTGACGAGTTGCTGTACTTTAGGAATACGAGTGGATCCACCTACCAAAACAATTTCATCTACGTCTTTCTTGTTCATGTCGGCATCTTCAAGAACTTTTTGTACAGGCTTCATGGTCGAACGGAAGAGATCCATGTTGAGCTCCTCAAATTTCGCTCTGGTGAGTGCTTCTGAGAAATCGTCGCCTTCGAAGAACGATTCAATTTCGATTCTGACTTGGTGAGCAGATGAAAGAGCACGCTTGGCCTTTTCAACTTCACGACGTAATTTTTGTACGGCACGATTATCCTTGCGAACATCTTTGCCCTTCTTCTTCTTGTACAGCTTAATGAAATGATCCATTACTCTTTGATCGAAATCTTCCCCACCCAAATGGGTGTCTCCATTGGTTGCAACTACCTGTAAACGAAATTTTTGGTTACAACAGTGCCAATAACAAATTGACAAGTAGAATAATAATGTTTGCCTCAGATAGGGGTAAAAGACCATAATTTGTTAAAACTTTCATGGAAACTCAACTGAACTATGAAATCATCATGATTTAATGAGAGGATATCCACTGTGCCTACCTCAAAATTTTGTATCATTGGCATGTTAACAAGATTTGGCAGTTTGTTGAGCCATTACCGTTTGTTTAAAATTTAATTAAAATTTATTTTAAAAAAGTATTAGAAGCACTTTCATAGACATTTTTTTAGCAAGCAGTACCATCAGTAATACTGTTCACTAATGGCACCTTAGGTAGTGGATAACCCCTACATTTACGTGAAATGAAAAACAGCAACAATATTAAAATACTCACCTCAAATACACCATTGTCAATGGTAAGGAGGGAGACATCAAAAGTACCTCCACCCAAATCAAAGACAAGTACATTCTTTTCACCATCCTTCTTGTCCAAACCATAAGCGATAGCGGCAGCAGTAGGCTCGTTAATAATTCTCATTACATTAAGACCGGCAATTACTCCCGCATCCTTGGTAGCTTGACGTTGAGCATCATTGAAGTAAGCAGGAACAGTTACAACAGCATGGGTCACCTTTTTGCCCAAATACGCCTCTGCGGTTTCCTTCATTTTACCCAACACCATGGCGGAAATCTCTTCGGCTGCAAACACCTTGTCACCCTGAGACGTCGAAACCTTAACGTGGGGCTTGGAGTTTTTCTCTATCACTTTGAAGGGGAAGAATTTGACATCATTTTGTACTGTGGTTTCGGTCCATTCACGCCCAATTAGACGTTTAGCATCAAACACTGTGTTTTCGGGATTCGTTGTCAACTGATTCTTTGCCGCATCACCGATCAATCGTTCGCCTTCGGCCGTAAATGCTACGTATGAGGGCGTGATGCGATTACCTTGGTCATTGGCAATTATTTCCACTCTGCCGTTTTTGTAAACACCGACACATGAGTACGTTGTTCCTAAATCGATCCCAATAACAGTTCCAACTTCTTCCTTTTCTTTCTTATCGTCTTTGGCCAGTACGCAGGCCATAAGACACAAGGCCCCTAATGCTAAGTGTAACTTCATTTCTAGAAAAAAGAGAAGATTTATGTAAAGTATGGCTGAATAATCAAAATTAATGGCTGACTAGCACATGTAACAGTAAATTGAAATGTACACGTATGCGTTTTGAATAGCTTAAAAAAGGTAATCCTGCTTAGGAAATTACTTAATCTGCATTAAATTAGTATGAAATTACCACAATTTTATGACTGTGTGGTGTGGTTTTGACAACCGGCTTGTAACGTAAAAAAACGTAGTTAGTTAATTAATTAATTACGTACCTTATTATATCTCGACTTAATTCACCCAATGAAAATAATACTTATTAGAATAAACTGCCACTATTTATCACAAACGCTTAAAACAAATTTTTTTCATGACACAACAACGGGCAGTGGAAAACTGAGGAAATTTTAAGGACACGCTGAATATAGCTAGATAGATTCTTCGTGGTAATTTTTGATTGGTCACTTTCAAACGAAGAGAAAACTGACAACTTCAATTGGTCACACTTGACGCATCGCTATTGGCCCACGTAATAATGGCGTGGAATGGATGAACTTAATTTACTTTTACTGTAATATGATGAAATAAAACTATCTTGTTGCGACGGTAGAACGATAAGGGACAAAAATAATCAATCAGTATCGTTGAAAAATCGGTTTCCTTGCGTGAACTTTCAGTACGTACTACGTGGTGAATAGAAATTCTGACGCGTTCGTTCAACTGTCTGGAATGTTCCGGATTTGGCGCGTATTTTGAAATTAAATGTTTTAAGCGCGTTATGGCGGGTGATTTTTCTTTCACTCCTCAGAAGCCTAGGTTCTGAAAATATCATCTTGTAGTACGGTAATTTTTGTTTTAACATTTTCTACTACATGAGAGGACTCTTTTGAACAGCCCAGTTTTAATCAAAATTGTTTCTATTTACTGCACAACCTCCACATCATGATTGTAATTGCTTTTGTTGGAACCTGTATCAGCGAAAGATAAACTGGATCAAAAGGCTTGGGAAGGGCCCATTTGATCCCTTATATTCGTAGGATACATAAAAGTAATAAATATACGCATTAGATGAACTAAATAACATCAAAAAGAGTAAAGAGTATAATTGTACAAACGTATGTACAGTGTACCGCTACCTATAGGTACTTATTATACAGGGTGGTGCCTAGCACAACGCAGCATAGGGATTTCAATGGTAATTTCTTTATAGTCAATTACTAGCTCCCCTAATTATTTTAGAGGAAAAGTCTAAATAAGTTTTTTTTAGAGAAAAAAATACTGCATCTGTTCATACTTTTAGTTATAATTTTCCATTTTTCAAAACCGTAGAAATCGACAAAATAAAAAATTACATTTTTATAAATCAGTGATGCTTTGGAATCTTTTAACAAACTACAAGCGCATCGCATCTAAGTTATCGTTATTTGACGTCGAATGATTTTCATATTTAATTCTGTTACAACTATCCGATGCAAGAAAAAGCGGCAATTGGGTAATGTTTTTTTAGAGAATGTATACTGCATCTGCATCAGACACTATATTGTTTATCAGAGAGAATCAGAGTACCTATACATAATCGAAGAAAAAAAACTGATTTGAAGCAGATTTGTTCCTAAAGTTATATTCGGATTTTCCGCTACTGCAGCCAAAACGTTGAATGTATTGTCGTTTTCCTGATGGTTTTGACGGACATGGAAATGGAAAATTATAACTAAAAGTGTGAACAGATGCAGTATTTTTTTCTCTAAAGAAAACTTATTTAGACTTTTGCTCTAAAATAATTAGGGGAGCTAGTAATTGACTATAAAGAAATTACCATTGAAATCCCTATGCTGCGTCGCGTTAGGCACCACCCGGTATACTCTTTGATAACATTCCCATTACCCCTTTCGGCCACCACATTTTTAAAGAGTTCACATTCGAAATCAGTATTTCTTGTAGAATCTATAAATAATAAAATGTCTTAATTTCAGAACATGCGCTCGCGGCCGCTCTTCCACTAAATCCGATTCCATTCATTTGCGAAAAAAATTTAGTAGGTAATCATAACCATATATCAAAACTTCAAATAAACAGACAATATGACAGCGATATGAATTCTCTATATATGAGTTATTGAACGGACAACAAATATTTCTTGTTGATTGTTGATCATAATATCTGAAATAGATATATACCTCATAGAAGTGCTGCCCGATCGGGCTCCCCTGCGAATAGAATAGAAATACCTCATATTCAAAGAATATTAAAAAAAAACTGAGAATATTCTCAGAATATCCCAAGTGGCATATAAGCATCATGCTTTAAGAATATCGCCGGCTCTCTGAGCTGGAAGCTGGCGTTCAAGCTTGGGTGCATAGATACATAAAAGTATGTCCCAGTGTTACAGCCCCTTGCAGGCATCTGGAGGCAGCAAAATCTAAGTGTCCGGGAGGAGAGCACGAAGAAGTTATAAAGTGCTACAGCATCCGGAACAGAGGTTAATAAGACTTTACAGGTTTTGATTAACGTCATTCGGACTTGTTTAAACTACTGTACCCTAACCTATTCTTCCAGAAATCTCTATTTCCTTTCCACACCTGTCTACGCCCTTATTACCAGAGTTTTACAAGACATTTCCCGATCACGTAAAGCGCGTCGAGAGTCTTAATTGTAAACACTTCTCAGAACATTGAAAAACAAACATTTCAACGCCTTCTAAGTACTCTCTTAAATTTTATATAACCTACCCAGCACTTCCAATTGCTCTGCTTTAGACGTTTTAGTCTCATTCAAACATTTCTAGCTCTCCTTCCCTAGATCATTGAATAAAAAATGTTTATTCAATGCGTAGACCCTATCAGATAGCTGGTCGATCTGAACTTACGCTGTCGTGCAACCAGCTCTTGAGAGATTAAGGCTGAAGAAGTTTTGGAAAACGTAAAAAGGTCTACAAAACTCGAGAAAATTTGATTTCTCTGGATCATTTTCGATGGGGTTATAGGAAAGTACTTTCTAAAACTGGCTATGCACTCTTATATGTATGAAATATACCTAGAAAGTGTCTAATGCGTCTCTGGAAAGCTAGGAGTAAAAAGCTATGAAAAGCTTAGCTAGAGCACTCTCTACAACATTCAATTACTTAAATGCCTTCCTTAGCCTTCTAGCGTCTTTCCTGCACTGAATGAGAGAAAGTTATGAAAAACACCTTACTTATATAACCTTAAGCTTTTAAGTCTTTTCCATAGTGCTGTAATGCCTTCTGGATGGGAAGCACCCTTTCTTTTGTTCTATATTTAAATAAAAACTTTCACGTGGAAATAAAATTTCATGCATTTACACTCGGTTGCATTGCTACATATTTGTATCTAACGACGCTTAGCTACACGTGTTTCGTTTCTTTAATTATTTCAGAAGTAAAGTGTAGGTATTTAGATTTTGCTGCGTTTTTATTTTTCTAATTTTTTAACTGAAAACCCCAGCAATCAATCTATCAATGCAGCCCATAATACATGGACTTAAGACTGCAAGGTGAGTAAAATAAGATAAATAAAGTATGATTTTATTTGGAACTATCATTGTGCAAAATGATTGTGATAAAATTGTGTAATTCTTGTGCTGTCCCCTTCACCACTCTCGAAGATCACAACCATAACATGTTAATATAACACAAAAATTAAATTTTAGATTTCAAGGTTAGCCAGTCCAGAATCATTGGGGTGAAGTAGGAGATAATTACATCGGCACCTGTAAACTAAACGTTACGCAAAGGACTATACAAACATTTATTTCCTTATACCTGCTCTCCTCATAGACAACAATATCTCTTGCAGTGCGACTTTTAATTCGAAGGCCCCTTTTTGTGCAGCATGATAGATCATTGCGTATTCACCCGATACTTGGTACGCAAACAGTGGATATTCCGGATGGGTTTGTTTTGTCTGTTTTACAATGTCTAAAAAGGCGAGAGCTGGTTTGACCATTAGCATATCTGCACCCTCTTGAATATCTCGAGTCTGCAATTACACCATTACTACAATGTGTATGAAAAAATCGAGAAATTACAGTGGAACGTAAAGCTAGTCCTTCCCCACCGGGTGGCAACTGGTAACACTTGCGATCCCCAAATGCCGGTTTAGATTTTGCTGCATCCCTAAAAGGTCCATAGAATGTCGATGAAAACTTTGCTGCATATGATAACACTGCCACTTTGTGAACCAAATCATTTTTTATCAAGAGTTCTTTAATTGCTCCCACTCGGCCGTCCATCATATCAGATGGGGCAACTACATGTGCACCTGTTACAATAGATAATGCAATAATTACCAATTTGTGATGCCATTTGCATGCCCACCATTTATTGTGCAATCAGCAGCATTTGATCTCTCAATATAACATTTAAAATAATGTGTGACAATAAATGGTAGTTACTATAGCGACAAATTCAATGAATTTCAACCATCCCCTTAAGATCATGTTAAATGTTGAGCGCCAAAAAAATAAGCGACGATTCAAATCGTGAACAAGTAGTTTTGAGTAAAGTTATGTTTCTGCTAAAATGATTAGTGCAGTGTTAGGCACCTTCAATGACGTTTTAAATATTATTTAGCATTTTACATTTATTGTAACTTACCTGTAGTGAGGTAATGGGTAATGTTGTCTTATTTCAATCTAGAGTCAAATATTACCACCCAGTTGAAAACTATAACAAATAGATTTGGAGCATAACATTGCTTTACTAGTTCAAGTTCCTTTCAAACAAAACGTTAGGTACAACAAGATGATACTGATGATAATGTTTTAATCCATGGATGAAGCGAGAGTTCAAGATATAAAATAATTTGAGTAGTTTTGAAAATTGACGCAGCTATTTTTTTAGTTCTCCTGATAAATGTCCCAAAAACCTGAGAGTAGGTAGTGAGAAGGTATAAACCCGAAACCGATACAGTGATCGCCTCTAAAAAAAAGAAAATTGTTAGTAGTTGTTGGAGCAGTTTATTGCGAGCGCTCGGGAAAAGTGCTTGTGAGCGGAAAAAACGCTCGCTCAGGAGCGGAAAAAGGGAAATTAAGCTCGCGAGCGAAAAAAAAAACGCTCGTCTTCCTCCCCAACTTTCTACCACAAATGTACTCAAGGGTGGATTTAGTTACAATGGCTTCCTAGACCCCCCCTTGACTGTTAGTCATGATAATTCATACAGTAAATCCTCTACAACTAATGAATATTAGTTACTTCTGGCAGTCCTTTGTGGTTGGGGTAACTAAAATTTTGAAGAGGGTAAGAAATATGATTCATTTTGATGCAAGAGAATGATGTTATTCTTTGAAAAAACATCCAATCTAATGCCTTAACAAGATTGTTAGTTGACAACATAGTTAAGTATGTGTTATAATACCGACCATATATGAATTAGGAAATGGGTTAACTGGAAGAGCAAATGTAGTTTCTGTTGATACTACATTCGAACTATGTCCAATTTTGACTAGCATACAGAATTTTGTTTTATTTTTTCTATTATATGGATGTACTCATTTATAGTCTAGCTAATAAAAGACAATATTATTTGCATTGCTGACACAACGCTATATATAAATATATATTATAAAATCAATGCACAGATGAAACTCAACTGCACTTCAAAAATTGTCCTACACGATTACTAAGATTATGAATCATTATAATACCATAAACAGTTCGAGAATCAGTTAGATCCCCCCCCCTTTTGTTTACATTCGAGTATACATGTGTTCTCTCTTTAACCTGCAGGTGTCCATATAACGGTCTCATTTGTTCTCATATGGTCACGTGTTTCGCTCTGGCAGTGATAGAATTTTTTTCTACCTGGGGTAGTTACCCCAGCCCGGCCACACAGGGTTGCCAGAAGTGACTTTTAATATTCAGTAGGTATAGAGGGTTTATTGTGTGAAATTTCATGACTTCAAATAACAACCTAAAATTGGTCTATAATTTTTTAGCTATGACAGAAAGTTTCATTTTTATTGAAACCTTAGTCAGCTATGACTGTTCAAGTCAAGTCAATTTACTAGTAAAAACACTGTTGCCAATAATTACTTACACGTCAATCAAGAAAAAAGTACTAATCTCATAAAATACAACTGCACGTTTGGTTGAAATTAGACATAGCATACAATTCATACACAGTGCATATTGTTGCTATATTGACTTCACATAGGTCTGTATGATGTATAACTGACCCACAAACAGGCAGACTACTTTGTGTATTTTCAATAAACATAATACCTATACAAAATAATACAAAAAAGGAGCTTTCTTTTGGGCTTTCATATAACATGTACCTACACATTTAAAAAAAAATGAGCCCACTACAACCTCACTCTGGGTGTTTATTAAGACATCAATTTTCAAAACTATCAGAATTATTTCGCTAATCATTGATTTTTACTATTATTTGCTTACACACAGTCCTAACAAAAGCGAGATATGCACTCATTGCACAAATTAGGTGAACGATCTACACACATTGCTTTGTGTCTGTACAGACCTACCTGCTTTTGCATAAGCAACAGCCACTTCTGCAATACGCTTAATACTTAGGGAATTATTTATAGTGCCATCTGTGTGTAAGACACCACAATGACCGTGAGACATATAAGGGCACAGGCAGACATCACAAGCAATTAGAAGTTCGGGAAACCACTCTTTAAGTTTAGGAATGACCTTTATCACGGGATTTTCATTGGAATCAGCATGGAATGCTTGATCGTCCTAAAACTGTATTAATGCACATTTAAAATTGTCGGTAATGTTACTGAATACTTTTGGTAATTGTGAAATAACACCAAACAACAGCACCGAGCTTAATCCCTTTGCAACAAGCGGCTCAAGATGAGCCCTTAAACGATTAATTCCAAAACGGGACACTCCAGGCATGGCATCAATTGGTTGTTCCTCATTCTCTTCGTCACTGCGAATAAACAAAAGTTAGTTAGTGGCCCACACCTCTCTCAAAGCCCTCCACTTACATAACGAATATGGGATACATTAAATTTTTTGGTGTAATTTGATGATTAATCGACTGCCACTCTCTTAAGGTCGGGTGTCCAATGGCACTATGTAAATAATGATTTTTCTGTGGAAACATTTCGAAAAAGAATTTTCGCGTTCAACTTTAAACTAACCTCACTTTAAGAGAGTGGTATTTAGTGGAAAAGTATTGTCATGTCATTGCCAATTATTTATCATTGCACTATGGATTCAGGGGCGCCCACAGGGAGACGCCAGGAGGGGGGGGGGGGGCGAGTTCAAAATATTGCCATCAGATTCATTTTGGAGCAAAAGGATATTTTGAAGTTTTCACATTTTGGGAAATTAGTCCCCTATTCATAAAATTTTGCAATTTTCTGGATTCCCTTTATAAATATATAAATCTTAGAAAGAGTTCCGACAATTAAATGATAAGAAATGAATTGTGAAAATATGAGTGTTCAATGTTCAAAAGTGAACTTTTTGTAGAGTTCTATTAAGTTTTTTAAAAATCGTTTTGTCGTTGTATTCTTGAAAAATAGGGATCATAAATTAGGATTGGTTTTATTTTTAATTTTTAAGTAATGGGGTACACCGAAAAAATAATGAAATAAAATTAGGAATAGGTACCAGTTTATAAGATGTAATATAATTTGCATGGAAAAATAACGTTTGTTATAAGAGGACCAATTATTTATTTATTATAACATTATTATTATAAAATATAAATGGGAGTAATGTACCCTGCTTTAAGACCACCTTCCATTGGGGCATTGGCGCCGTTGCCCCCCATAAGTCGCCGCCCCTGCATGTATTGGATAATTTTGTAGAATTTTATAGTTTCGCATAAAGTTTCGGATGGACCTGGCTCATGTTAGTGCTATGCCATTCTTTAAAACAACGGTGTTACCAAACAATACCCATAGCACTCTGTGGTGACACCATAATACCAGTTTTAATATATTACTCATAGAGGTCGCTTTTTTTTGTGGAAAGTGGATTAGGTAAAACTGTAAAAGGTTAGATGGGCTCTGAGGGGGCCCTGTGAGTTAATTTGCAGATAGATAAATAAATACACACTTTATATAATTTTTTTTAAATTCATTATCCTTGCCTAGGTACGTCTTTGGGCTTTGTAAGGAAATATTATTTAAATAAACTTCATGTAAGCAGCTTATCTTTTACAGATGAACAAAGAGTCAAAGGCCATTATCTAATGAATGTCCTTGCTCCCTACATTATCTATGTTTTTATTTATTCATCTACAGATATGTGCCAAAACTAGTTCTGTGTGTTGACTACTTTTAACTTAATTATATAAAGTATAAGGTTAGTTTTAATTATGCATATGACCTTTTGGTGGGACACAAATATACCTGATCTTTTATTTTATGGCTGTAACATTTCTTCGAAAGGTTGGCTAACATTGACTTGCTTAATATTGATAGCTTTAGGCATTCTTTTCGAATGGCTAAAGTTGCTTCAAGCAAAACAAAAGCAAAGGGAGTTAATAATACGTGCCCGACAAATTCGCACAGTATGTCCTTCAAGTGAAACTTCGACACTAATTTCTCATGGAGAAGGTACAAACTCACAAAAACCGAGTTTATTTGTAAGGTACGGGGGATTCCATAATGCAAAAAGTCAACTTAAATTTTAGGACAAAGTTGCTGTTCTGTGATGCCTGCCTGTGGATCAATATACATGTATTGGGCTATATTTTGATGTTGGTTATTATGGTATACAACGGATGGTTAATCATTTCTCTACTAATTGGCAGCGGAATAGGATATTTCCTTTTCGGAACGCAATTCATAAAAATAACCATGCAAAACTTTCAAACCGTTCGTGATACTTTCTGCTATATGAACTGTGCCGAAGCAGGTACACTCCACAGTTCCACATTTTATCCCACCTACTTTCCTTCGACATCTGCTAACATTCCACGTTCTAATCTTCGATGTCTTGTATAAATATGAACCTACTACACAAAGTATTTGTAGACTTGACAAATGAAACTGAACCAATCGTAGAACCCTCCAGTTCACATTGTTCGTCAACTTCTCACGGTCACACAGAAGGAACTGTAGTGGTGTGTGTCCATCCTGAGCCTACGTGATATTTTATTATTTAAGAATATACTATTATTTGTTGCCAATTTTGACAAAATAAAGATTTTAAGGATACCCAATCAATTCTATACATGGGCGTCCATAGAAATATCGTCCAGGGGGTGTGCGTGTGAGTTTGTATAGTGCTTTGATGCATAATGATCACGAGCAGGGGTGGTTTTACTCCTCCATGCTATATTGCTAAGGGCGCCTATAACATCAGATGGAGGAATGGATTCCATAGTATTCGCTATATTTTTCATTAGGCATAAATATGCACGTGGTCTTCAATGTAATTTGACATACCTACCTATATTTTAAAAATTACTTGGAATCTTCCCCCAAGTTTCCTACGATATTTTTAAGATCTTTTTGGAAAGAAGAATGAAAAAAAATCCAAATTATTTTGAAACTTTTAAGGATACTGCCCTATATGGAATCTTTGAAACTTTTACCATCTTTAGAGCTCGCAGGATCCTAAAAACTTAGAATATTAATAGATTCATCATTTTGCAATCTGAAAAAGTGTTTTTGAGATCCTCACAAAACAAAAAGAATTTGCAATTTGTAAGTAGAAATCTACTAAGATATGACTTTCTAACGACAGCTTATTTCTGGTTATTAATTGCACTGTAAATAAAGAAACGCCACGTTCCCCCAACGGTAATATTGCAATGTACTGCCACGATATATAAACTTTCTAGAAAAATCTAGAACGCATATATAGAAAGAATACGTTATGTCATCCAAGGAACAACCCATCTTAACTATGTACTAACGCCGTCACTGATTAAGAGGCCAAATAGTTCAAATACACTGGTATGTCATCAAGTGACAAGTAGTTCAACTTGTCAACTGTGTTTATAAACACCACCCTTCAGCCCTAATTAACTTAATTATTAAAATCGTGTATCAAGTAATTGCACTTATTAATTAACTTTGCTGTGTCATACATGGCATTGTATAATAATAAACTATGGCTGCTTTCGCATATTCGAGACTCCTTCATATCAACAGACGATACAGGTTAGTATTTCTAAAACTTGTATGCCAACAATCATGTTTCAAATTTGAATAGGCATGAGCGAGTTGGTCATGGTGGGTGACGATGTACCCAAACAGTTGGCAGACAAACTGGATTGTTATCGTGACCCGGAAGATAGTGAAGACGATGAAGATACATCTCACGAATCGTACGATTTTCATTTGGATGTGGATTTTGAAGTGCAAAGGCAACGTTCCAATACTGCTGTACGATTAGAAAAATTGGATAATGCCAAGAAACGAGCTGCTAAAGTAAAGAATATTAAATGGGAATTCTCTCCAGTTCGTCCCACAGAACAAGAATTAGGCGAACTTTTTGTTAGAAAGGAACCTAAAAAGAATGTTTCTAATACCAGAAAATCCTTGCTGTCTGAAAAATTAGAACAATGCACCAATTTACCTCAGAATCCCTACATTGAATACGCCAAGTTTGATGGAAGTGCCCAAGTGGGTATTCTAACGAGAAAATATAAAATCTTTCTCACTATGCTACCCGAAGAGCATCGCAATTACCCAATGACTGTTAGTTGTATTGCTACTGCTAAAATAGAAGAGCTGATCGGTTTTATATTGCTCAAATGCAGGTATTCAGTGTGTGTAATATATTATTAATATTTCATTTTAAAATTATAGTACAATTCACGGCGATTTCCCTTTGAAACCTGTATCTCACTATGGGTTATATATAACTGAAGAAGACGGCGAAGTAGATCACGATTTTCCAAATCTTGATCCCAAAGAAAGCGTGGCAAAATTCGGATTTACATGCTTGGGGTTAGTTGAACATAAGCAAATTACTAAGAATGTTAGTTTTGAATCATCGCAGACAATCATTCAACATGAGGGATCTGACGAGATTAATAAGATATCAAGTAAACTTCACATGGATGATGCACAACAAATCACTGCGAATATGCATCTAATGAAAGTTCATGCGACTGCAATGGAGGCACCTTTATATCAATCGTATCGTGTGTATATTGTGAACAAAATGCGGGCAAAAGCTGAAATACAATTGGGTATAAGCGGAGAAAAAATTGAGATTGATCCCTTGCAACAAAAGAATTCCAAATTCACTTTTGTACGACAGAAACCGGTTAGCCATCACATTGATTCGGTTGCATGGTGCGAGGTTACAGATACAAAGAGCAGCGGAACCGCTTTTCGAGTTGTTTACAGTTCTTCTTTTGGAGGAGGAGGAGGAAGTACAAATGTCAATGTTAATGGTAAGTGTAGAGGAAACAAGGGACAAGTCTTTATGTGATCATTTACAGTTGGGAGTATACAGTCGCCCATTTTACAAACGTCGACGAGCTTCAAACATTACGATTTTGAAGCTGATCATAATACTGCGGAAGAAATAGTACAAAAAATTAATTTAATCCTTGAATTAAGATCTAGTGGTAGTCGTAAAGAGTACTTAGCAAGTCGGGAGCGAAAACAAAGAAGAAGAAGTTTTCATTCTAATAAATAGAAATGTAACCTATTCAAAAATATATTAGTCTAAATGTACACTTTTTCTTAGCGCTTTGTTTGTTAAACGACTCAAAGTGTCCAATTCCCTAATTTTTTCATTTTTATAGTTAATTAAATTTTCGTGAACCTCCAAGGCCTTATTTACTAATGTGCAAAAGTTTCGAACTTTTTTTGAGTATTCTGCATGCAAGCCATCATCAAATCTTGTCGGTTCTAATTTTGGTTCAACCCTGAAATCATTACTTTCATTTTTAGCAAATTGTTCAACTCTCTTACCCAAGACTTAAGCATTCCTCTTTTGTTTTAGCATACAGATTCTTCCAATCCATTATCTCTTTTTTCAAATTCTCTATATAGTTATGTTCACATGATTCAAACGATTCCACTGTAACTTTAAAGTAGGTAAAGCAATGCCAAAGGGGTACTTACTCATGGTTTTAGGCTTGAAAATCGAGGATCTTCGTCTTAATTTTCCAGAAGATGATACTAAAAGCGAACAATTCTTTAGGTGATTTAAATTAATTAGACTTACAATTGACCTCCACGATAGTTCGATCATTACTGACTGCCTTGGTATGCTTTTCTTGCATTTCTGTTTTCTTCTCCATTAGAAGTTTTAAAATTTTAAATGTTTTAGGTTAAAATATTTCAGTTGATTTTTGGATTTTTAAATATTCAGTGTAGCGCCATCGATTGGTGTATGTCTGAACTAATCAGTGGCGTATCATAAATTCTACACACTTAGGCTAGGCAACACGTCATTCAATTTGGGAGATTACCTTTTTCTAAAACGCAAAAACTTTTTAATAACTAACTAAGTAATGTCAAGTATTCAAATCTAATTATCACAACATCCTTCTTTCTTACAATGATGTTTATAATTATAATACGTCTCAATCCCTATATGTCGGTCGGTTTATATTCATGAGTTGGTGTAGATTTTTCACCAGGGCAGATTGAATGTTATAGTAAGGTGCAGGACGATTGAGTTTCAATATGTTATATGATATAGAAGTTCATCGCCTTTACCCTACCAAAGTGACATATATATTTATGTAAATCTAGAACATTCCGAAGCGTTCTAAAGACATTCTGGAACAATTGTCGTTTACTATATAAGCAAATTTAGCGTATTTCGTTCGGTTTTAACTTCGATGCGTTTGTGTTATGTTATAAATTGTAAGTGATAAATAATAATTACAGTTACAAATTAATCCACTTTAAGACTGTTATAAATTTAATGTTAATTAATTATAAATAAATAAAACTACGTAATTAAATGTACGTAACACTGGTGTCAAGTGTCTGGTTGTGTGTAAGTATACAATTAGAGAAAGCTTTGAATATATTCACCATGAACCAGATTTACTGGAATCAGGGAGCACGGATCAGACTGTATGGATTAAAGTCATGGAGTCTAGCAATCACACCCGCTTGAGATGCTTAGCTTCGTCACAGAAAATTGTGACTACTAAGCCCCACCACCACGACAAGGTGCATCCCATGGTGGGGTATACATTATAGTCCAGTTTAAAAGGAACAAACTTATGCAATTTGCCAATTGAGTAGGAGAAGGTATACGCTAATCAGTCGACAAGAAGTCAAGAACCTCGATATACGCCGTTTACTGTCGTACATACATCCTCGACTGCAGTCTTGCCTATGCACAGACTACTGGGCGACGATTTGTTCGCAGATTTGCTGACATTACAAAACCGTTGACCAAGTTAACAGAGGAACACAGCGATTTCAAATGGAATGATGGATATAAGAGGGTTTTTGAAGGTTTCGAACAAGTTTTTGTTACGGTTCTAGTCCTCAGATAACCTGAAAAAGAAAGGGGACTTCGGGTTAGATAAACGCTAGCAATGTTGGAATGGGTACTGTACTATCCCAAATGCAGGATGAGCACGAAAGAGTTACCCATCGGATATTTGAGCAGTTTTCTTTAAACCGGGACGCTATTTACTGTGTGACCTGAAGGAAATTGATAGCCGTCAATAAGTCAATCAAACATTTCCATAAGTACCTATTTGTATGGCCAGAATTTTCTCGTTAGGACCAACCATGTCGCATTGCGATGGTTATTGCACTTTAAGAGTCTAGAATAAGAACAAGTGGCGAGATGGTTGAAAAGACTCTAAGAGTAGCCTTTGTAACAGAGAACACAACGCGGGACGAAACCATCGTAATGCTGATACCATGTCTAGAAGACTATGTCCTACGGATTGTGGACACTGCTCACAACTAAAGCATAAATATGAAGAACAACACTCACGATGCACTGCACTTGTGAATGATAACTGTGTATAACAAGAAATCCGAACAGTTCAAGAAAATGACTGTGATTTGCGTCTGATGATAAACTAGAAAATTGAAGAGAACAGGCCACCCTGGGAAGAGCTTTCTCCAATATGGTCCAGTTTCAAAGGCATATTGGGTTCAGTGGGAGCCCTTAGTACGAACACAACTCGGCAATTAGTGATGTCAGAGAGTAAAAAATCTGAAGTGCTACGATAGATATACGATAGTATATCGGGCGGGAACGGTTTTACTGGGTAATTTGCAAATAAGATGGGAAGGATACGGAAACTACCACGAGGAAAACCCGTGGTAGTGCACATAAATCGGTTGGCTCCATACGTGGGACAGAACGACCCCGAGGAATAAGAAGCAGCGAATGTGATTCAAGCAAAACCACTACAGTCCACTTTCGCGAATTTATGGCACATAATCAGAAGGCACGCCTGTGAGGAATCTACAAATTTATTTGAAGCACCGGAGAAATATGCGTTGGCTTGGATGTGATGTTCCGAGGTATTGCCGTAGAATTAAGTTTCAGTTTTGGCGCATAAAAGAAATTTACTTTCAACGTCCCGGGGTTGGTATAGAGCGTGTTTCTTACAAGAGCAAGGACGATTATTTTATTATCTGGTAACAAACTACCGGTCTTGTGATAAACCTGGTTACGGAGATTTTTGGAATGCGCTACAGCACTTGAAACAACAACTACAAATTCATTACATTACCAAGTTGGCAATTCTAAAGATTGCATGTGGTCTTGTTAAGTGGGACTGGCGCATCGTACGCATAATATGCTGGAGGTGGTGTTGATGGCTAGTATGCTAGACAACAAATGAATTTGGTTTCAGGAATTATTGCCATAAGAAATACATTGTAAACTTCAAAGCAAAGCTTCTAGATTAATTTCCAAATAAAATATCAAGTATTTGGTACTGCGGAATTTTTTTTCTCAATCGAGGAACATCAAAATCAAATATGGCCTCCATATAAGGAATAAAAAAGTTGATGCGATTTACTCGAAACCCACAAAACATAAAAACTGTATTTTAGTACTATCAGACGACTGAGAAAAGACCACTACTTGGAGTTTGTTACAAGTATTTTTTGATATCTTTGAAAATTAATGAACGCCAGCGCATTTTCGAAAATGACATTTTTCCGTTTGTTGATGGTCATAACGTCGCTATTTGTAGAGCTACAAGAAATGATGAATTGAATAATTAATCAGTATCAAATTCTGCATAACTTTGCTCATTTCACCGATTACGGTTTACGAGATCCCTACAGTGGAAATGAAAAAAAACTCACCCTGTATAACGATGAGTAAGTTAATAAGAAAGATATATCATTATTACAATAATTACAACAGATAAAAATAAACTTTATTCTTAACAAATTACTATAAGATCTCTGCATGTAAATTTAACTTAACACTTATATGCCAATATGGATATAAAGTACAGTTACATAAGTACATAAAAATTATGCACTAATTATACGTTCGCTAATTTAGATTTTACAAATGAAATGCATAATCTTAAATAAACATGTACAATATGTGCTACATTTAGATGTGATTAAAATACTGCTCTGAGTCATTCGTGAGAAAAGAAGTTTCTCAGAAGATCGCCAGAAAGAGCAAGGAAGGGCCCCAAGTTTTTTTATACCCTTCATTAGTTAAATCTCATTCCAACTGCGAGTTTATTCGGTGAAGATCGAAGGATAAGAGGTCCCTCTGAACTAGAAAGCTGTCCCTGCACCTTTTACCTAGCGGACATTACATAGACAATATTCGAAAGCTTATGGTCTTCATCGTTAACGTATGGTCACTTTTTTTTGTGTTTTACGCTCCTGAAGATTCATATAGAAACCATTCATTTTGTAAAATTTGGAGCGGTAACCGACGATGTGATTTCGACCAAGAATCCAGAAAATTCGGACGCTATGGTAATATTTCTCACGACTTTCAAACAAGAATTGTTTACTACCTACTTAAGTACAATTCAAATGAAATTTTACTATTCTATAATTAACTTAGCAAATTGTCTCGATACTGCTTTAAGCCTGGATTAAAGGATACATACAGAATCTAATCATTTACTTTTGGTGTGGTACTCCAAAAAAGCGCGCTTACGGTAAAACCTAACTTAATTCTAATTTCTACCCTTTGTAGTGGGTACGCTAATCGATTATTGTTCAGAACTAGAACTGGATACAATAAATTAGCAATGAAAGTTCATGTAGATTGACGGAATAAATCTAAATAAGATATAATTCCACCTTAAATGGGTTATAATGACGTGATTTTGGTATGGTGAGAATGATCTACCTATTCGTATTAAAAATCGTATGAATCATCTTCCTTTCCGACTTTAAACAAAAACTTGTACATAACTCCGGCCAGAATTCCACCAATGATAGGTCCGGTCCAGTACACCTGAAAGTGAAACGAAAACTAAGTCTTGAAATTAAATGACAAGGGTACTTACCCAGTGGTTTTCCCATAAACCCATTATAACCGCGGGGCCAAATGTTCGCGCTGGGTTTATACTGGAGCCCGTGTATTTAATCTGCAAATTTGGGTGTTAGAAACTTTGTGGCGGTGCGACGACTACTACTAACCCCACTAAGATGACTGGCCGTGATACTAAGCCCGATTGCCAAAGGAGCTGAACCTTTGATATCAGTTCTCCTGGGATCACATACAGCGTGAACCACAAAGACTAAGGGAAATGTGAGAAGGATTTCGCATATTATAGCTTGAAGAGGCGTTAGAGGTTCTTCAAAGTTTGTAATGCCCAAAGTGCCTTGGAACTCTTCCGGTGTTGTTACCTAAAAGTATACATCATTAGTCAAGAAGCGTGTAGACTCTTTTTCATTCAATAAAAGACCACGGTCAGTGGCGCGTGTCAGTAATGACCGCTGTGTGTTCCAGACTGGTGACCATCAAGTTCAATGTTGAGAATGTTGTCGATTTCACTGTTGGTTTATACTTATTTATAGATATTTAGATAAATTGCTAATACCCATAAATTAGATTTTATAAATAATTACAGAAAAATTGATTGCGTTCAAAACAACCGGAGCTATAGATTTATAGACGAGATTAATATAGGCAACGAGAGTAGTTGACGAAACCAGGAACTTAGCCTTTCACCGAATAAATAAATGCAAAAATAGTCATCAGATGATTAATTATATTAATGTAACATGAGGGGGCATCAAATGAAAGGAAACTGTTTGCTCTTTATACAACATTTAATATTTTGGCCTCATTTTATTGTTAACGTTGTTTACTTTCAATGAAGGAATGCAAAATGTAGGTATAGAACAATTATTTCTGATCATTTTGTTTAGGAAGGAAATCTGCTCAACGATTTACCTACTATAAGACTGAAGAAAATTCTTCTCTTGTAATGTACCGTAACTACTAATTAACGATGGAAAAAGCACTCTCGGTTATCAATTTGAAACACTTCATTCATAATTTGTGTCGCTTTCAATTTAATTATTAATAACATTGTGTAGAAAAAATGCTTTCGCTATAATTTACAGTTAAGTAGTACCTTCTAACATACAGGCTAGGTATTTCAAATGTATAGAATTAACGGACATATCCATTCAAAATTAAATATTTTTATTTTTGGCAATAGAAAAGTAGAAGTAAACATCTTTTGAAAGATATACCTACAGCTTACTTATTGACAATTAGTGGATTATAAACTTTTTCATTAATTACGGCTTACTTTTTATAATATAAAGATACAATGGACTAACATAGGAACTTTAGCAGTTGAAGAATTAGATATGGCTACTACTTTTTGGAACTCTAGATCAACAGTAAAAGAAAAAAGGTAAATTATTATATACATTCAAAGACAAAATACTAGTAGGTCTATTATATTGTTAAATTTTAAAAACTAAATTATAAGTGCGGGTTTCTGTTGACCATTGTTTAAATAAATTTTAAAAAATGTTAAAGTTATACAAGTACCTATATTCGGATTTCTCAATGTTTTCGGATGGACTTCGGTTCGGCGTCGAACATACATTGTCTACTGTAATAAATTGCTGTTTTACGCTCATTTGGAGTCTGGGAGGGCTGTAGTTTGAATTCCGTAAAAGCCGCGAGAATAGACTGTTTTGGGTCAAAAGTGCAAATTTGTACTGGGAACTATCGCGAAAAAATTATACAAATACAAACTGACGTTTCTGGAGAATAAAGTATAGTTACAGTGGCGTTTCGAAAGCAAAAATTAAGCAGGTGTTTGGTTTTAAACTTGTTTGGCCTTTTGAGTGTTTTAATAATAACTGGTATTGCGATAACGGAAAGCTTGCTTGAATGCAGTCGAGATAAATAGAAAGTTCATTGCCCGATCCTTTCCATACAGCAAAAGGTGCGAGGAAGATTCAAAAAAGGAATTCAAGGATTCAACAGTATGCTCCCAGGAGATTCAATTTATAGTTTCTATATTGTCCAGCTTTAAGACTCCACCTATTCAATCAAGGCCGTACCGTTTTGGACCATAGGGAACCAATCGATTTTGGAACACGCCAGAATTCAAGTAAAGTGACATTTTTTGTTGATTTGTGTAAAAGTGAAATCTCTTTAAAGCCTTTCAGAAATTATTTCAAAAATAAGTAAGAATCTGGAGAACAATTTAGAGAAGAGGAGAGGAATTTGATATTTTTGCCGTATCATACACAATGTTTGCTCTCATAGTTTTCGAGTTATTTAGGCTTTTAGCATAGGGCTTCAACTACACATACACATATAGGTACCTACTCGATGGCATAACCTTAAAATTCTTTTGTACGAGTGAGTTTTTTTTGCTGTGGACAAAGCGCAAAATATGCGTGAGGGATATAAAAACAAACCAAGCATAAAAGAGAGAGCAAAATTGTTGTGCAGGAGCCAAACAAGGGTTAGAAAGTGTTAAAAATGGTTACGCAGAAGTAATGACTACGCCACTACACATTCCTTATTGGGGTTTATGTATTGAATTTTTTCGTGGTCATTTTGTGCTTACGCGTTGCTAATCAAGAATTTGGTGCTCATCAAACTCTTAACCATTGAAATTGATGGTGCAGAATCCCCATAATATTTATCGAGCTTTGCCTTGGTTTCGCTGTCAAATACAAGCTAGATGGCGTAGCTGGCCCGGAATTGTGCAGTGATCAATTGATGACAGTTGACGGTAGCAGTGCGGCATTTAAAGTTACTGCACCGGAAATGCAAAAAGTCAGTGACTTATCAAACTGTCCTCGTATGTTTGTCGGACGAATCCGTTAAATTTGGTGTTTATATTTATTTCCTAAAACTTGACCGCGACAGAAAGAGTATAAACAGGCCTGACGAGAAGGGGGGGTAAACGGGGGGATTCCCCCTGGGCCCGGATTTTGGAAAGGGGCCCATTGCATGGTTTTTTGGGAATAAAATTTTTATATCCATACCAATTTCACTAAAATAAAATATTTCATATTATGAGTCCTTGATTAGTAGAATAAAGTAATGTGGAATAGGTAAGTTTAAGCACAAAAAAGGGGCCCGTGCTTAACAACCCCCCGGGCCCCAAGTTTCTCTCTACGGCCCTGAGTATAAAATTTAGTTCTAGTGTCCTAATGTCAATGCAATGTGTTTTACCCCTTTTCTTATGTAATGGGCGAGTTCCCTTCATTGGTAAAAAAATTACACTTACATATTATAGTCTCTCAAGGGATAAATGAGCGGACAGACGAACGTACGGGCAAAATAGTGTTAACAGTAGATCGTAAAGAGCTTTACTTGATGAGCGCGAATTTTTTGACCACAAAATGAGTATGACAAAAATGCATACATGAAACCGATAAAGAAATACCTAATTAGTTATGCCATTGTAACTTGCAACAAACCTCTTCGTCTACACAATCCCTACAGGCCCTACGCCTACTTCATTTATAGCCTAAATCGCCCATGCTTTTATTTGATCACCAACCAGACCTGGATGGTGCCAACTGAAGTAGAAGAAAATTTCTAACCAGAAATGATTGTCCAAACGAATTTCTACGAGATGTCCAAGATCTTTTTTTCATGTTTTAATAATTAGCAGATAAAACTAAAAAATCTATAGATAAAAGGTTCGTGGATAAAGATATTAGGTAAAAACACTGACACAATCAGCGTTCGAAAAATAATCTATTCTCTATCATTTTTGTGCCACTTTATCAGATTTGATTGCATAACTCCATTTAGTTTCACCAGTTCCTTTAGGGGATCTGAAAAGTTTAATTATCTAGTAATCAATGAACATTATGCTGTATCTCTGGTATAAATAATACATAAATAGGGTCGTCATTTGTTACTTCAGTCGTCTTGGTCTAGTTAAAGAAAATGGGGGATCCGGGAGAGGGGTGCAGCTTTCATATGCCGTAGAAACGATAGCAAGACATCAATGAACAGTGCGTTCCTTTCACAATTTTTTTCCGCAATGTGACAAGACTGAAAGTAGTTTAGCTCAATACTCTAATTTTCTTGCTATAAGGTCAATGGGTTGATACCGCTCACTTAAACATTTCCTTGCCTAAGAGACCCCCTAGAATACTGATTGTAGCATGACATCCCTACAGACTATAATTAAGGAGAAGGGTGGTTATAGAATATACTAACCGTTAAAAGTGCAGCGCCCGCTGCAGCTCCAACACACTGGACGGCAACATAAAACAAAGCCTTCAACAATTTTATATCCCCCGTGATGAACAGTCCAAATGTAACCGCTGGATTGATATGGCACCCACTAACATGTCCCAGACACTGAAAAAACGAAAGAAAATAAATTAAAGTGCCACAAAAATAAAAACAATCGTAATAACCTTGAATTTTACTGGTACTGGTACAAATATGGGTTAGCTAAAGTGTAGTAATGGTTGCAATTTATTGATGCATTCAGGGTTAACACCAAACCAATTCAGCCTACTTACATAACTATCGACCGAAACTGGATTTTGTATCTTGATTCGTAATTCATATAACTTATATCTACTATAGTCAATAGAAATCAACAATTGAATTTATTTATTGTAACAATTGCATTATTTATTGTGCGGTGGTATATTTCTAACAGCGCAAAAAAGCAATGGCAGTAATTAAACGTGTTTATAACGTAAAATATTATAGCTTAAGTAACTTGCCCGCGTTTCTAAGTAATGTTCTATCAATTAAATCAACATGATAGAATATACTTGCACGGTGACAAAAGTTTCTCTACAGTTTAATGAAGAAAAATTCGCCATGGTGCGATAATTAAACATGAATTCTCCGAACCATTAACGTCAATTTTCTTGTTACATCATACGCATAATTGAGCTTGTCAACAATGTGGAAATTACACTACATACATGACCTTAAAACTAATCTTAGCAGTAATGATGCTTGGGCAAAATGCTCTAATTTCTTGTAGTGCAGATTTGGGCAACCAGTTTCTGCCTTTATTAATGTAGCGTTATAAAACCTGGCCAACTGCACGTGTTGAAAATTTAAAAATATATACTTGTTTTGGACACGTTTGTCTTTTTTTAGAGTTGAAGATTTAGTTATCATTAGACGCATACAGCAGTGATTCAGAAATCTACTGTGCTAAGGCACCACAATCATAGAAACAGGCTTCGGACAGTAATCGTTCAATAGTGTCGAACTAGATGGTATGAGACGACAGTGTCCATAATTTGAACGAAAATGGGCATCTCGAGAACATGTACGCTCATACATCATGACGGACAGGATGGACAGAAGGGACGACATACGGACGTGCCAACCAGGGAATATAATGAACCAGTGTACAACATTCAAAAGAAATCTGTGGAAGCCTTTCGAAGATCTGTTTGCTCACACAGACGGACGGCCGAATGAACAATGAAATCTAAAGTATACCTCAAACTAATTTTCAAGAATACACTAAAAGGGAACTTCAAAAACCTCAATAAAACTGCTACGTAATGTAAAGGAACAGTTTGCATTTTTTTGGAACGTTTACTTTATTGAGGTTCTGATATTGTCCTCATTTCAAATTTTGCTTATCGCTATGTGGTTGCAATTAAGTAATATGTCCCATATAGACGACGAAAGAAAGGAAACCGCGAAAATTTAACAAACCAATGAACAACAAACAGCACAATATTTAAAGTAGGGCACATTTGTTTCTTTGTACTGAAGAAAAACACCTATATATTTAGGTATATTTATTTAAATCATACAAGAGCGGCTGCACAATGCTAAAATAATGAACCCGCACAGAGGCCGTTGAACTGTTTTTTCAGTGCTCACTTTTGAGTCTTGTAACTACGTACTGACCGTCACAAGGCGCAAATGTGCCGTTTTTGGTATCTAGCATCCGTTTCAGACTGGTTCAATGTAAATAGACAAGAGCATCAATTTATTTAATTAGTGTATACCCTAATTTATCTTAAAATCAGCAACCTCCTACACGCATATTCATCTCAAAGGTTTTTTTGTTGGTTTGAAGCACCACAATGGCGCCGAAATCTTCAATATTCAAGTATTATATCCCAAGTACACGCCAAATACCTGAATATTTCGCGAGTGCACGTAGTGCACGAGCGAAATACTCAGATCTGGTATTTGGCGTGCACGAGGGATATACGGGATGACTATTGCCCGACAACAATTTTGCAAGATAAGAAGAATATAATGTTTGTTTCGATCCTTTCAAAGACATGGTTTTTCAAAAAGCATCATGAAACCGAAAATAAGCATGGGTTCAGTTACAAATTGCCATTTTACAAATTGTAACTTTCGTTAATACAATTTGGAATTATTTATGTAAGTTTCATTTTAGGTATTTACACATAAGCAATACCCGCGGGTATTGCACAAGTGCATGAATGCTCGAGGATATTTGTCTGTTGCTAGGTGATTTCTGTAATATGCATTAATATGATTGGTTGAAATTTTCTGAGGGCAATAGTCAAAGGTATACACAGTACACACGAGTACCTAAGAGGGGAACTAGTCATTACTTTGGAAATTAACCGATTACTTAGGTTCCTGGATGTGCCACTTCTGATTTTCTAAAAATATTTCCTAGTCACGAGGCTCTAGACACCTTCATTTGCTCTGAAAAACCTTAGAATGTCTTGAAACTCACTTACAAGATTTTAAACCGTTTAGAAAGCTTTTCAGAGCTTTATAGCCTTCAGGAAATCTTAAAGATGCAAACGCGTGGGGCAAGCACTTGGTGCGAATTTCACCTGGGGAGTATATTACGATGAATGTTCTGCGTTCTGATTTGTTATATAAGAGTAGAAAAGTCAAAATTAACAACAAAAACGGCTACCAAAACGTCTATTTATGACTATACTGTTTCCTTCGCGTGCCGGTGAATGTTATGCGAGAGAGTGTTCATGAATCAACTTTCGCGGTATAATTTCCTTGTCCTCTCGAGAACGAATATTACGGGCAGAATATTATAAATGCGATTATATTGCAGCGAATACTCGTGAATAAATTTTCGGGCGTAAATGTCCAGGAAAAAATATTCCTCGACACAGGAATGAACGCGAACTTATAGGATTTTCTATATATAGCGGGGTATCCAAACCGATCAATTTCCCTTACGATGAAAATTCTAATCAAAAGGTCCCTATTAAGTATCTAGGACATGATGTGTAGAAACTGTAGGGAAAGGGAGAAATCTGAGGAATTCTATATACAGAGTGGCCCAACGAGAAGTATACAGACGGCTTTTAGGGTATTAAATTTAGAAATTTCGAAAAATCCTCGAACACGCAATTTTGTATTCGAAGTGAACCTGTCAGGTTTCCGAAATGAATCAATAGAATTTAAAAAGCAAAGCAGATATTAGTAATCACGATTAAATTGGCTTTCAAATAATGTGCCATTTGCCATAGGATTCCATTTAAAATTTTAGGGGTTAAGCTCCCTACGTAGAGGGGTGAAGACTGGGATTCGTGATTTGTATTCCAAAAGTTGTCCTCCTCGAATACAAAATTGACGTGTTCAAGGATTTTTCGAAATTTCTAAATTTAATACCCTAAAAGCCCTCTGTATACTTCTCGTTGGGCCACTCTGTATAGGGTGGCTATTAAAGATGGAGCCAAAGCTCTCACGCTCAAACCGTTTGAGATATATACATGAAAATTAAAACGCTTCCATTTGAAATTATTTAACATATTTTGAGGTTAAAAAAAATATTTTTTAACAAATGTTTTTGAGTGTAGTTACCATCTTAAATTTTTTTAAATAGAAACATAAGTCATGTGATACGCCATAGGAAACCTTATTTTTACCTCTTTTTTAATACCTTAAATATATACAGGGTGGTAATTTGAAAACTTACCACCCCCCAGGTCCCATGTCTTAGTAAATAAACGAGATATTTAAAAAAATCAAAATCCGTTTCGGTAATTCGGAGGGGGAATCACAATGACATAGTTGGCGACGCACCCCCTCCAACCCCCTGCGCCCCAGCAACCCCAACTTTTAAATCTTAAACAGTGACCCCCCATGTGTGATACGTCGTTGGAAAGCTGTGAAAAAATGCTTTCCAACCATACAAAATAGTATTAGATTTAGGTTAGTAATTATCGTGCAAATCAAAAAATAAACTTAGGAGTGGCCACATAGAGGAAAAGATTGTAGGATGATTCGCCACCGAAAATTCGCCCCGGTAAATTCGCTCCTGAAAATTCGCCCCCGGAATATTCGCCCCCAAGGAAACTCGCCCCCAAGTAAATTCGCCCCCGGACTATTCGCCTCCGTAAGATTCGCCCCGGAAAATTCGCAAGTTCGCCCCCGACAAATTCGCTCCTGCAGCAGTTCATAAAATGAATTTTGTTTAATTGTTATTTGTTTAATATGTTACCAAACCAACCTATTACTTCCGAGGGTAATTATATGGGGCGAATCCTACGAGGCGAATTTGTTGGGGCAAATTTTTCGGAGGAGAATTTATTAGCGGCGAATATTCCGGGCGCGAATCTGTTGGGGGCGAATACTCCGGGGGCGAATTTACTTGGGGGCGAATATTCCGAGGGCGAATTTACTTGGAGACGAATATTCCGGGGGCGAATTTTCGGGGGCGAATTTACTGGGGCGAGTATTCCGAGGCGAATTTACCGCACACCAGAGGAAAATTATAACGTTCACTCAAACTATGTGTGGACTCCTAAGGCAAACATTGAGGCCTATAAGCGTTTTTATACCTACTGTGCACCACATTTATTTAATAAATTACCATCAAGCCACATATCTAGTATAAGAAGGTGTACGGAATTTATAAATATTTTAAAATCGTGGTTTACTAATAGTTTTTTTTAAAAGTTGGGACACTAATTTTTTTCTCTTTTTTTTTCTTTAATCTTTCAACAGTGTATTCTTTGGTGAAACTTCTTGCTTTTCTAACCATGTTACTTACTTGATTTTTACATTAACAAGAAGATAGGTCCACAATGTATCATTTTCCTATTAAAAGTTTAGCTTTTATTATATACCACTACAGTAGCTTATAAATCTCTCACCACTGTACTAATCATTATTACTGCAATTTTAAGTTCTTTTATCTCCTTTTAATTTATTGTAGTGCATTTGGAATTAATATTAACTTGTGAACAAATTGTGAACGTGGAAATAAAAGCGTCTATCTTAATTTAACATTTCTGGTGATATCACACGCTATACATATACCTTAGATCATACCATACGATACCCACAAATAACAAATTTGAAATAATTAGGTATACTTTGGCTTCTACACCTATGCACAATACCGTAGATTT